GAGTGATGGGCGTGGGAAAAGCGGAGGGGGTACTGCAGGGAATCGTGTCATGACAACGGACACATCGATGTTGACGAGGGGCGAACATTGTAGCCGTGGATCTTTCAAGCAAAACCACAGAATCTGATAACCGTGATCAGTGGGATGTGGAACACGTGGCAGTGGTGCTGGCATGTGGACCCAGTTTGGATGAGGCTTACGACAGTGCGAGGTGGTTCGCATGGCTCGCTGGCATCAACAAATTTCGTCACCGAATCTGTAGCTCCGTCGCGAATCGCGATTCTTCAGATGTTTCGCAAATCACTGCTACGCTTGCAGCGAATTCCTGCGTTTCATTGGCTGGACGCAATCACAGCTGGCGGCAAGAATCCTCTTGTGTCAGTGAAAAATAGTGCAAGCGAGCTGGTCCGATGGACGGAGGACAAATAGAAGTACAGTTCAGAACCTTATTGCTGTTTGCTCTAAGATACATTTTGCTCATTGTCACGGAACGATATGTTTGCTCTGTAATGAGTACGATGTTGAGCCAAACCTTCCACAGCGGCTAAGCTTGTTTTCCGCAAGCCAAAGTCGCCGAAAGTCTGGATGGCCTGTAAACCCTAAGCTGGGAAACAGTTAAGGTGTTTTGCTCTGTGTAGTCCTGTTTTTAAAATTGAACATATTTGTGGTCGTAACAGGCTAACTCCTTCGTGCCGCAACCGAACCGTCCCCGAGCCGTCATGGGATCTGACGAGGACGAGATGGATGGCAAAAAAGGAAGGCGAAGATGCGAAGGCGCACGGGACGTCCGGGGGAAGGATGACGATGAGAATACAAGGGAACGAGGAGGGAAAGGGGAAAGTCGGCATCCGGATTCGAACAAGCGGGATAGGGAAAAGGAGAGAGGTAGGAGTAAGGAGATCAGGAACCGTGAAAGGAAAGGGAAAGGGCCAGAAGGTGAGGATGCAGATGCGAAGGAAGAAGAGGAGAGGAAGAAGACGAGACAGGAGAGTGATGAATGGGGGGGATCGGAGAGTGATGGGAGTGGGGGTAAGGAGAAGGAGGATGAGGAGAAGGGGAAGGGGAAGGGGAAGGAGAAGGAGAAAGGGAAGGAGAAGAGCAGCGGACGGCACAGGAAGGGGAAGGAGAAGGAGAAGGGGAAGGGGAAGCGGCGAAGGAGGGATACTAGTAGTGAAAGTGAGAGTGATAGTGAAAGTGAGAGTGGGAGCGAGAGTGGGAGTGAGAGTGATGATGAGAGTTCGGAAGATAGCGAGGAGGAGAGGAGGGAGAGGAAGAGAGCGCGAAGAGAGAAAAGGAAATCAAAGGAAGGGAGCAAGTCAAGGAAGAAGAAGAAGAGGAAGAGAGGGAGTGATGAGGACGGAGAGGAGGACGAGGAGGAAGACGAGACCACGTCGGAGAGCAGTGGGAGTGAGACGGATGAGAGGAGGCTAGAGAGGAGGAGGAAGGAGAGAGAGCAGAGGAAGAAGGGGAAGGAGAGAGAGAAGAAGAGGAAGGAGAAGAGGAGGAAGAAGAAGGAGAAGAAGAAGGAGGAGAAGAGGGAGAAGAAGAAAGCGAAGAAGGAGGCTAGGAAAGAGGCCAAGTCCAAAGGTCCGGTCATGGAGTATGGGAAGTACGGCATTATTCGAGAGGTGGACATGTGGTGAGTGTGAATCAACTTGAGTGTGATTAGTGTTGTAACTGCGTGAGTAACCAAGATTTTGAACCACGACCGGCTTCAACATCCTTCTGCTATTTCTGTTGCTGCTTCTGCTTTTTCTGCTACTTCCTCTGCTGCTTTTGTTGCTGCTGCTGTCTGAACGAGTGCATGTCTTTTCTTTGCGATTCTTTCCGTGTCTTTGCGATTCTTTCCGTGTCTCACAGGAACAAACGACCCGAGTTCAGCGCATGGTTGGCTGAAGTTAAAAGGGTACTATCCTTATTCACATCCTCTTTTTGAACCCTGCGCTGTTGCTTTCTCTCGTTCTTACCCTCGTTCTTACCCTCCTCCCACCCGCCCCCTCCCAGGCTCCTCCCCTCCCCCCTGGCCTGAATTTCCCTTGTTGACTTTTGTTGAATTCCACGCTTGCACTCCTTCCTTTTCCCCCACTCTGCCATATACCATGTTCTCTGGCCAGATCTCGCCCTTCTTTTATTGTCGTGTGTGTGTGTGTGTGTGTGTGTGTGTGAGTGAGTGAGTGAGTGAGTGCGTGCGTGCGTGTGTGTGTGTGTGAGGGAGTGAGTGGGTGAGTGTGTGTGTGTGTGTGCATGCGTGTGTGTGTGTGTGTCTCACTGCAGGCGAATCTGGAGTCTTTGAGCGGGTTTGAGGAGAAGAACTTATTCAAGGAGTTCATGGAAGATCACAACACTGCCACGTTCCCATCTAAGAACTGAGTCCCTCTATAACGAGTTCTTTAACAAAACAGAATTCTGCATAGCTTTGTTGTGCAAGTTGAATTAGGGTGGTGGTTCAGCTGCCCCACTTCCGCCCCCTTCCCCCCCATGCCCCCTGTCCCCTTACCTTCCCATCCGCCTCAAAGCTTCTGCTTTGTCAGTTTCTTCAGCACTCTGGTGGCATTTTTTAGTCGCCACCTTTTAGTTGGCTCAACTCAAGTACTATCCTGCATTCCTTCCTGCCTCAACACACCCGCTTCTGTTAGATATTACAATTTAGCGGCGTGGGAGCATCAGCAGATGACCAAGAGGAAGGGGCGGCCGGACAAGCCGTCTGGAAAGGAAATGACGGAGTTTAATGATGAGGATGCGAGGAGGTGAGAGGCGGTACTAGGGTTTGTGTTGACTTTTTGACTCGTTGACTGGGCTGGCTGTGTTGACTTGTTGACTCGTTGACTGGGCTGGCTGTGTTGACATGCTGACTGTGTGACCCTGCCTATATACTCACATGCTTCTCTGCTTTCAAAATTTCTGTGCTGCCTGTGTGCTTGTGTCCCTGCCTGTGTGCTGCCGTCCTTGCCCGTGCTGCCTGTGTGCTTGTGTCCCTGCCTGTGTGCTGCCGTCCTTGCCCGTGCTGCCTGTGTGCTTGTGTCCCTGCCTGTGTGCTGCCGTCCTTGCCCGTGCTGCCTGTGTGCTTGTGTCCCTGCCTGTGTGCTGCCGTCCTTGCCCGTGCTGCCTGTGTGCTTGTGTCCCTGCCTGTGTGCTGCCGTCCTTGCCCGTGTTGCCTGTGTGTGTCCTGCCTGTGCTCGCCTTGCCGTGCCTCGCCTCGCATGGCAGGGAGGAGATTCGTCGGGCGAGGGAGAAGCAGAAGGAGGAGGAGGTGCTAGCGCTCAAGCGCAGCATGGAGTCGGGCATGGTGAGAATGAGGGGTGCTGGGGGGTTTGAGAGCGGTTGTGTGGGGTGCTAGGGGTTGCTTGGGTTGTGGAGATCCTGCAGCAGAAGGGTGTTGGCGCTCAAGCGAAGCATGGAGTCGGGCATGGTGAGAATGAGGGGTGCTGGGGGGTTTGGAGCAGTTGTGGGGGGTTGTGTGGGGTGCTGGGGGCTGCTTGGGTTGTGGAGATCCTGCAGCAGAAGCAGAAGGAGGAGGAGGTGTTGGCGCTCAAGCGAAGCATGGAGTCGGGCATGGTGAGACGAGACACAGCAAGAAACGGTTCTGGGGGGTTGGGAAGGGTTGTGGGCGGGTTGGGGTGGGTTCTGGGGGTTTGGATGGGTTGTGGGTCGGTTGCGGTGGTTGCGGGGGTTGGAGAGATCGAGCAGAAGGAGGAGGTGCTGGCACTCAAGCGGGGCATGGAGTCGGGCATGGTGAAACATAGGGGTGGACGGGGATTTGGAACTGTTCTGAAGGGTTGGGGCCGGTTGGGTGGGCTGTGGGAGTGGTGAGATTTTCCGTGCCAGATGCAGATGCAGATGCAGATGCTGGCTCTGCATGGTTGCATGGCCGTAGGCTGCATGATGCATGCTGGACTTTGTCCGCTTGTACATGCCGCCTCCTCATTGTTTTGCCCGGTGCATCCCTATGTGCCCTTTTTCTCATTGATGATTCCCAGGCGCAAGCAATGAGAGACCAGGAGCGACTCAAAGAGGAGCTTCGCTTCCTCTACCAGATTGGAAACTACGAGGTGAAGTTTGCTCCTTCCTCCTCTGCTTACATCGCTGCTAGTGGTTTCCTCTACCAATTCTCTAGTTGACTCAAAAGCGACTCAAAGAGGAGCTTCGCTTCCTCTACCAGATTGGAAACTACGAGGTGAATTTCGCTCCTTCCTCCTCTGCTTCCACTGGTGGTAGTGGTTCAATTGCTTTGGACCTCAGTTATTCCGAACATTGTCACCCTTCCTCCGAACATCCCGAACATCTCAACTGGTTCTCTTATGGTAACGCATGTCGAAGCTTCTACTCCTGGACCTCAACTCCTTTCTTCGTCGCCGTTTCTAGTAGACACTGTCTACCTCCATGCAGCTCCTTAGGAGTTGTTTGTTGTGACCGTCGCCCGTCCCTTGCACGCACACCATCCATTGCCCATCTGCACGCGCAGCGTCCATTTTCCTGTGCTCCTTGTATAAATCGTTCGACCTGTTGTGCCCCTTTTTAGGCACCTCAAAGATAATCCCTGTGCTACTTATACTCCTTGTGCTCCTTTTGCTCATTCATTACCGTATGTGCTTTGCTGCGTAATTTCCTGCTCGCTGTGTGACGTCGTGGCTGCCTGCATTCGCCTTTCAGGGAGCTGCTGCCATTCAAAAGAGGCTTGAGCCAGATGATCCTACTAAGCGGTAGAACACCTGACTTCCCTTTATGGGAGACGATTGTCTCCTGAAACGAAACACTGGGTGTGTGGCACTGCTCAGTAGGCCTCTAGGAAGAAATTGATGCATGTAGAACTGTATGGGAAATATGACATGCAAGGGGTACCAAAACAGCACTTTATGAACCTTTCAAATACTGGTACATTACCAACACTGGGTCTTCAAGGGTTCCTCAAAGTGCACTACAGTGTATATTTAGGCATTTGTCACAGGTAAATCTCATTGAAAACGTCTGTACTCTTACGGTTCCGTATTTCTGGGCCTTTCTCAACCCTCAACATGTACTGCTGCGGAGTCGAGCGTTCCTCCAGAATCCCGAGCTTCCTCCGAACCATCAAACCTCAGCCGCTTGGCTCGGTCCAAGCCTCCATCAGCCACGGGAACCAGCCGTTTGGATCTGGCGCCAAACACTCCCAGCATCAATGGAGCTGTCTCCCCACTGGAAACACCAGCATGGGTCTCTCTTCGCCTATCCTCTTCAAGCCTTTCTGTGCTTCGATCATCACTACTAGGTCCATCAATCCCTTCTCCTTCAATCTCTCCCTCCCGATCATCCCTGCTACCGTTTCCTTCACGCCCTTCCCTCTGCTCCCCCACGAATTGCTGATTCACTTTTCCCCTCCCCACCTCGTCCCCCTCTTCTATTGGCAGGCTCCCTTCGAACCTCCCACCCACATCCCCTCCTGACTCTTTCACTCGCGCTGACAGAGTAATCCCCTCTCCCTCATACCCGCTGTCTTCCTCATCCCCCACCCTCCCCTCCCCTCTCTCTTTCTCCCCTCCATACTCACCCCCCTCTCCTTCACAACCAACATCGGCAATTGAACTCGATTGTTGCAGTACCTCGCCTGTCTCTCCTGCCACTCTCCGCTTCTTGTGCCTGGGGCCCAAACATGCCCTAATAACCACCCCTCCTTCTCTCTCTTCCTCTCCTCCCTCTTTGTCCTCCCCTCCCTCTCTCCGATCCCCTCCTCTCCCCTCCGCTCCTCCATCTCTCCCCTCCCCTCCTCCCTCTCTCTCTCCTCCTCCCTGTCTCTCCTCCTCTCCCTCTCTCTCTCCCCCTCTCGCCTCTACTACAACCAGCTCCAGCCTCCCACCAGTATCCACGCACGAGCTTCCCCCTGCCATCATCCGTGCAAGCATGCTCACAGCATGCAGCAGCCACTGCGTGCCCCGGTCCCCAGGGACTCTCCAGCAGCCGTCAGCCTCGTCAGGATGCTTCAAGCAGAGCGCTGTTTGGAAGACGTGGAAGGGAAGAGGGAGAGAGAGGGAAGGAGAGGGAGTGATGCGAGCATGCTCACAGCATGCAGCAGCCACTGTGTGCCGCTGTCCCCAGGGACCCTCCAGCAACCGTCAGCCTCATCTGGGTGCTTCAAGAATAGCGGTGGTGGAAAGTGGTGAAGGGAAGAAGAGAGGAAGGCCACTGAGTGATGTGAGCAACAACTGAGAGCACACCTGAGAGTAACCGACAAAACTCACCTGGGAGCACACCTGACAGCAACAGACAGCTCACCTGGGAGCACACCTGACAGCAACAGACAGCTCACCTGAGAGCACACCTGAGAGTGACAGACAGCTCACCTGAGAGCAACTGGGCCATGCTGTCATTCGCCACCGTGTCCCAATCTTCCAGTTCCTCCACCAACGGAGAGTCTACATGCACAACTTCCCCCCACCCCCCATCCCCTTCCACCTCTCCTCCCTCCTCTTCCTCCTCCTCTTCCTCCTCCTCCTGCCCTCTTCTTCTCTTCCCCTTCTTCCCCTTCTCCTTCCCCCTCCCTCCTTTTTTCTTCCCCTTCGTGCCGGACCAATCTGGGCCGTCCATCAGCAGCAGCTGCCAGCTGTTTCGAGCGATCGCGTCCGTCCAGCTGGCGTGGGCTGCTTTCAGGCGCGATTGCAGCCATTGGATCGCCTCCGCTCCATCAAAGGAATCTGTAAGGAGAGGGGAGGAGTGGGGTGGGGGGATGGGGAGAAGAGGTGAGGAAAGAGGATGGAGGGGAAGGGGGGAGGAAAGAGGATGGAGGGGAAGGGGGGAGGAAAGATAGGAAAAGAGATGAGATCGTATCATTAAAAAAAGGCATTGAAAGATGGGATTGCAGAAGCAGTCACGAGGAAACATGGAGGAAGGAAAGCGAGAAGTGTGAAGAAAGGGCACGGAAAAGTGTGAAGGAAGGAAGGAAAAGTGTGAGGAAGATTGAGAAAGCATGGAAGGAGACGGGAGAGAGAGAGGGGTTGTTACCATCAGCGAGCACTGCCTGAACGCCCTCCCGCACTGCTTCCTCCTTCAACTCCACCCCGCCTTCCACTCCCGTAGCACCACTTCCGATTGCAGCACTTTCGATAATAGCACTTTCCCCTCCTGCAGCAGCACCACTAGCAGTGTTGTTTGCAACAACAATTGCCCTGTTGTCTCTCTCTTCATCCATTGCACCTTCCCCACCAGCAGCAACACTGCCTGTCGCCTCCTGCTCGCTATGCATGTCTCCTCCTCTTACTGCTCCTCCTCCCCTCTGCCTCCTGTCACTCCTTTGCCCTCGCCTCACTTTAGCAGCGGCAGCCAGTGCCCTCTGTCTCTTGCTCAGCAGCACATTTTCCTCGTCCTCACTGCTCACCGCCTCCTCTTGAGAGCTCTCAACAGCCCTTCGCCCTCGCCTTCCTCTAGCAGGGGCAGCGGCAGCAGCAGCAGCAGAAGCAGAACCAATCAGTGCCTTCAGACTCTTGCTCAGCAGCACATTATCCTCATCCTCACTACTCTCCGCCTCCTCTCTTTCATCCTCCCCCTCCCCCTCCTCCTCACCCTCCTCGTCCTCTGTCTCTCCTTCCTCAACCTTCTTTCCCTCCTCTCTCTCCACTCTCTCCTCTCCCTCAACCTCCTCTCCCTTCCTTCCCTGCTCTTCCTCCTCTTCCTCCTCTCCCTCCTCTCCCTCACCCACATCCCTCAAAATCTCATCAAACCCATTCCCGCTCCCACGTCTCCTCCTCTCACTCCTCTTCCTGCCCATTCCATCCTCGGGCAGCCCAAGAAACTGAATCCGTTGCGCCACACGGGCAACTGAAAACTTCCCTCCCATGGCCTTAGCAACCTCTTTCGCAACTGCCGATGTGCCTCCCCTGCCCTTACTTCTCCTGCTGCTGCTATTCCCCACCTGAACCCCTGTAGCATCGCTGTATAGACTCCTGATCATTGCATCATCCTCATCTGTGAAGGGGAGACTGCCGCGCCTCCCCGTGTTCCTTGCCCCTTTTGCCTTCAAACCCGTTTTCAACCCCACGCCTTTCCCCCCCTCTTCTCCCCTAAGCTCCTCTCTTTCCCCACCGATTTCCACACCTCCCTCTCCCTCTGCACCTCCTTCCTTCCTTTCTCCGTCCTTCCTTTCGCCCTTCTCCCCAACCCCCAAACCCCCCTCTCCTCCTTCCATCTCCTCCAACCCAATCTCTTCCTCCACCTCACTCCCTCCCTCACTCTCTCCCTCACTCTCTCCCTCACTCGCCTCCCCACCACCATCTTCCTCCTCAGAGTCACTATCAAATACAAGCTGCCTCCTCCTTCCCTTCTTCCCTGCATTCAGCCGTGTTCTGCCACGCATTGCCTTCCCAGACTTGTCTTTTCCAGCCTTTGCTTTCCCACCACCTGACTTCCTATCACCTGCCATACCACCACCGTCGCCACCACCATCACTACCATCACCATCACCACTGGCACCACCACCACCAGCAGCAGCACCTTCTGCTGCCGCCTTGCTTCTCTTCAGCCCCTGCGACCTCAAAAACCGGCTAACCTTCCCCGCAAGTGCCTTTATAGGGTCCGCTTTTCGAGAAACACCCTCCTTTTCCCCGACCCCACCCTCCTTCTCTCCAACTTCCCCCCCTTCCTCCCTTTCCTCCCTTTCCTCCCCTTCCTCCTCTTCCTCTTCATCCCCGCCTTCCCTTGCTTCCCCTTTCTCCCCTGGTTTTCTACGGCGGCTGGAATGAAGCAGGCTGGGGTCGTGTGCAATTAGGGCCTTTGCTATCAGTGATGGAACCTCCCGCCTTGACTTGTGGCTGATGGGGGGGGGAGAGGGATGTGGGAGAGGGAGAAAATGAGGGGAGGAAGGCCAGTGGTAGGAAGCAGGATGGGATCTTCTGCAATCAGAGCCTTTGCTATCAGTGATGGTACCTCCCGCCTTGACTTGTGGCTGAAGGAATGGGGGAGAGGCGGGGTGGAGGGGGGGAATGGGACGGAGGGGGCGGATGAGGGGAGGAAGGAGGGCAATGAGGAGGGGAGGAGGAAGGCCAGTGGTAGGAAGCAGGATGGGATCTTCTGCAATGAGAGCCTTTGCTATCAGTGATGGCACCTCCCGCCTCGACTGGTGGCTGATGGAGGGGGACAAAGGGTGGGAAGCAAGTGGGGGAAGGTAAGAGAGACGGAGGGGGCGGATGAGCGGAGGAAGGGGGGCAATGAGGAGGGGAGGAGGAAGGCCCGGGGAGGAACACCAGGCGCACCCTCTTACTGCTCCTGCTGCTCTTGAAACACCCCAAGACCCTTCCGTACCTCTCAAAAAGCTCGCGAATTCTCCTCTCCTGGTCCTCTGAAAACACTCGTGCCCTGCCCCTTCCCTTGCTGCCAGGCATCAGAGTGAACGGGGAGCAAGGCGGGGAGGAGGCGGCGGCTTTGAGTGTTTGAGTGTTGAGAGGTCTCAAAAGTGAACGGGGAGCAAGGTGATGGTGATGGTCGTGGTGTGAGTGACAGTACGACTCCTCCCTTGCCTGCTTGCGTCTCAATGCTTGCCTCCCTTGCCTGCTTGCCTATACACAAGATCCCTTTACGAGTCAATGCCCAACGCGTCTCAATGCCCCCCACCCTAACTCCCTATGCATGCCCGCCTACTTGCACATTCCCGTGCCTCGTCTCTCACCTCTTCTTGCCAGCAGCAGCAACATCAGCAGCCCACCACATGCCTCGAGGCAACTCCACATCTGCTTCATCATCCCCCAACGCGTCTCAATGCCCCCCATCCTAACTCCCTATGCATGCCCACCTACTTGCACATTCCCGTGCCTCGTCTCTCACCTCTTCTTGCCAGCGGCAGCAGCAGCAGCATCAGCAACATCAGCAGCCCACCACATGCCTCGAGGCAACTCCACATCTGCTTCATCATCCCCCAACGCATCTCTCAACCCCCCACTCCTTACATTCTCCCTCCCGCCCCTTTCTCCCGCCTTTCCTCCTCCCCCACCCCCTCTCCGCCTCCCTTTCCCCCCACTCGCCGCCTCCCATCCCTCTTCCCCATCCCCGCCTCCCGCTCTCCCGCCCACCCACCCCCCCGACCTAAGCTCCCCCAGTGCCACGTCAGCAGCGAGAACCATGCTCTCCTTCCGGGATTTGTGGAAGAGGAGGCGGAGGAAGAGGGAGGGGCGGAGGGGGAGGAGGGCGGAGAGGTGACGGACAGTGGCGGAGAGGAAGGAGAGGAGGGGTGCGTGCAGGGGGGAGGAGCGCAGGTCTGGGTTTGTGAGAAGCTTGTAAAAGGTGTGTAGGGTTGATACCTGGGGGGAGGAGTGATGGGGGGAAAGAGGGGAAGGGCAGATGAAGGAAAGGGCAGCGGAGCGTTCTTTAGGTGTCCTAAGAACAGGGGCGCGTGCAGAGGGGAGGAGGAGCGGAGGTCTGGGTTTGTGAGAAGCTTGTAGAATGTGTGTAGGGTTGATACCTGGGTGCAGGGGGGATGGGGGGAAAGAGGAGGTGGGGGGCTTTGTAAGCGTCCAGTTAAACGGGCAGAGACCTGGAATACACCAATAGAGACCTGGCAGGGCACCTGAGATATCACCTGAAGAATCACCTGATTCTCACCTGGAACAGCATGGCCTCAGCATCGCACCCCACAGTGAACCTCCTGAGCAGCGACAGCACATAGTGGTTGACACGTGGCGCGTTGCTATTGGCCGTTTCCAGCAGCCACACGCAGTTCTTAACCGCGTGCACGTCAGCAAACCCCCTTATAGTGCGCTTCACGTCTAGCTCATACTCCCGAACCTCCTCCCTCCTGCGCCGACCCTCCTCCTCTGCTTCCTCTATGCCGTCCCCAGGCTCGGCGTCCGAGCCTATGTCCGAGCCTGCATCGGAGGCTAGGTCCGAGCCTGGGTCGGAATCTTCTGGGCCTTCTCCGTCTGCTGCTGCGTCTCCATCTTCAGCATCAGCATCTTCATCAGCAACTGCAGCGCCAGCAGCAGCAGCAGCAGCAGCATCAGCAACTGCAGCAGCAGCATCAGCACCACCACCTTCCGCCTGTTCTGTCCCCCCTTCCTGCCCTTCCTTTTCTCCCGATTCACGTCCCCCTTCCCCCCCTTTTCCTGCAGCATCAGGTGTGGCATTCTTATCACTACCACCATCAGCAGCAACGTCAACAGCAGCACCATCACCACCAGCATCAGCACCATCAGCATCACCAACACCACTAGCACCAGCATCAGCTGCTGTAGCATCGTTAGCACCACCACCATTGCCACCACCATAAGCACTCTCATTCTCTGCAGCAGAAGCATTTTCAACCTCCTGAATTTGAGCTGTGTCCTGCACTCCCTCCTGCTCTCCCTCCTTCTCTCCCTCCTGCACGTTCTCCTGCTCCCCCTCCTTATCCCCTTCCTTGCCTGTGTCCGCACTCTTCCCCTTCGCCTTCTGTGCCTTGTCCTTTCGCTGTCGACTCTTCCTCACAACCTGCATTGAGCAAGCCAACAGGAAAGCAAGACAAGAGACCGAATCAACACACCATTAACATAAATGCTTCGATTTAGAGGTACCGCTGCTTTCGCACCATCAATTCACCTTGAGTGCACCTTCTGTTCGAACCAGGTCTTCGAGCAGTCTCAGGCACACGTGGGTGGTTTCAACAGCGTCAACCAGCAAGCAGCGCGGCTGCGTGTGCGGGTTGAACCCCTTCAGCACCCGCTGCAGCACATGCACCTTGCCCTCACTGCCACCACTGCAACACATGCACCACGTGCACCACATGCACCACCCCATCGCTCGAATCAAGCTGAGCTTGCACGTACCTTGAGTGCTCCCTCCGTTTGAACCAGATACTCTAAGAGCCTCAGGCACACGTGGGTGGTTTCGACTGCATCAACCAGCAAGCAGCGCGGCTGAGTGTGCGGGTTGAACCCCTTCAACACCCGCTGCAGCACATGCACCACTCCATCGCTCGAATCGTCGTAGAACAGACGGAGCAGCATGGCCCGCGCCAGCCGAACCTCCCGCCGAACCTCCCACCGGACCTCCTGCCGAACCTCGTGGTGAGGCTCGGCCGAGCCTGGTGCTGTGGGGTTGGGATTCTCCCCGGATTTGATTATGGCATCGAGCATGTGAATCTGTGGGGTAGAGACAGGGTGGGTGGGGGGAGGGATGAGGGGCTTAAAAAAAAAAAACACACACACACACATAAGGCGCCAACAAAAAAAGCGAAAAACAACAACCCAAAGGGGAAACAAGAAAGGGTAGGGAGGGGGTGCTTGAAGCAGCAATGCTTGATTCTCACCATTTCTTTCAGTAGGCTGCCCGCCGCCACCAGCGCTACCCGCTCGTGATTGGCCCTGGCAGCATACTCTGCCCAGCGGGCAGAAACAAGATTGAACATGTCATCATCCATTGTGGCTGCTATTGGCCCACACCCACACACCGCCCTCTGCTCCACCTTCCGAGAAGCTTCCTCTGCTCCTTCTTCCTGTTTTTCCTTTTCTTCTCCTGGTTCTCCCCCTTCTCCCCCTCGTTCCCCCGCTTCCGTCTCCTTTGCTCCTGCTTCCTCTCCTGCTCCCCCTGACACTCCCCCTGCAGCGCCCCCTTTCCCCCCCTCCCCTGTGCCTGCAGCTGCTCCCGCTCCCCCCCAGCCCCGCAGGCCATGCATCTCCCGTTGGAAAGCAGTGAAGAAGGAGGCCACGAGGAAGAAGGCGAGGGTGTCAGAGGGCTCTAGCCCTGCCCTCCAGGCAGCCACGTCGCGACGCACCGTCTCCATGAGGGCTGGAGGGAGGGGTAGGAGGGGAATGGAACAAGGGTGCGTATCGAGTCAACTCAGGCCGTGCGTCTCCCGTTGGAACTTGGAACGCAGTGAAGAAGGAGGCCACGAGGAAGAAGGCGAGGGTATCGGAGGGCTCTAGCCCCGCCCTCCAGGCCGCCACGTCGCGACGCACCGTCTCCATGAGGGCTGGAGAGAGGGAGGGGAGGATGGTAGTGGGGGAGGGGGGGATTGGGGAGGGAAGGGTGAGTGTTGTGTCTCAAGTCAGAGGGCTCTAGCCCCGCCCGCCAGGCCGCCACGTCGCGACGCACCGTCTCCATGAGCACTGGAGGGAGGGGAACGGGGAGAGGGTGGAAGAGTGTTTGAGGGGGAGGGGAGAAAGGGGAGGAGGGCAGGGCGGTAACACTCAAGTTTGTGATACTCGCTGTAAGAACATGCGCTACTAGAACAACTCATTACTGTGTCACTTTCTATTGTCACACTCACCATTGTCACACTCACCATTGTCACACTCACCATTGTAACATCCTGAGGCCAGCAGCCGGTCGGCAAACACACCGAGGCGCCTCGCCGTCCACCTGGAGCTCCTCCTATTGGCCCGCGCTCCACCGACCAATCCCAGGGCAGCATCCACGTCAGCATCTGGTTTCCTCGCATCACCACCGTTGCCATCACCCCCATCGCCGTTCAACCCACCATCCATACCCATGCCCATGCCCATGCCCATGCCCATGCCCATGCCCATTCCCCCCATGCCCGTGCCCCCCATGACTCGCCGCACGGGTCCCCTCCTGACTTGGCTGAAGATGGCATGGTGCACGGGTGGAGAGAAAGGCGTGCTAGAGACGGTTCTTGACTTGTCCTGGGGGAGAGGGGAAGGGGAGGATCAAGGCAGAAGAGAGGGTGGTTGAAATGCCCCCCAGACTCGCCGCACGGGTCCCCTCCTGACTTGGCTGAAGATGGCATGATGGACGGGTGGAGAGAAAGGCGTGCTGCTGACTGTTCTCGACTTGTCCTGGGCGGAGGGGCATGAGGAGAAGAGAGGGTGGGAAGAGGAAGAACGGAACTGCTTGGGTGAGAAGGGACCATTCGAGAGGACCGGGGCCTGACTTGGCTGAGAATAGCGTGGTGCACGGGCGGAGAGAAGGGCGTGCTGCTGACCGTTCTCGACTTGTCCTGTGAGAGAGGGCATCAGGATGGGCAGCGGTGTGAAGGCAGAGGAGGTTTGCAGTGAGCCCTTTGGATGAAAGGGAAGGTTTGAAGTGGGACGCGTGAAAGGCGGTGCGGCGCATGGCTGGCTGAGTCGACTCAAAAGTCAGGATGGGCAGCGGTGTGAAGACAGAGGAGGTTTGCAGATGCAGTGAGCCCTTTGGATGAAAGGGAAGGCTTGGAAGGCGGTGCGGCGCATGGCGGTTTCACGTGATTGGACGCGTGAAAGGCGGTGCGGCGCATGGCTGGGGAGAGGAGGGCCAAGTCACGAACCACCAGTCACATGCCAGACCAGCCATTCGCCCTATTCTGAACCACTTATTCTGAACCAGCGTCTGACTGAGTTCCGAACCAACCATTCACCCTAATCCGAACCAGCCAGCACTCACCGCGTTCCGAACCACATAGAGCCCGCCGAACCGGGAGTGCCGCTGCGTGATCTTTTGGGCCAGCGCCTTCCGAGCCGCCCGCTCCTTCTCCCGCCGCCGAGCCTCCGCCAGACGTTCGGCAGCCTCCCGGTCCTCCCGCGCGTCAGCCTCGGCATCGGCCTCCCTGGCAGCCCGAAACGCCGCTACAGCGGCGTCCTTAGGAGGTAATTCGCGGAAGAGGAGATTAAGTATCTCGAGGAATAAGAGGTTGTCGTGGCGAAGCGCTGGGGCGGTTTCGGGGGCATCGAGGCAGGAGATGAGGAAAAGAAGGATGTCTGGGAAGCCGCTGCGGAAGAGAGAACGAATGAGATCGTCCTGGGAGAACAAAGTGAGGGGGAACGAAGGGGAGAGGGGGGAGAGGGGGGAAGGGTAGAGACGCTTTCAGGGGCGTGGAGGCAGGCTACGAGAAGGATGTATGAGAAGCCGCTGCGGAAGAGAGAGCGAATGAGATGGTCCTGTGGGTAAAGAAGGGGTGTGGGATGGGGGAGAGGGAGGGGCATGGAGGAAGGAGATGAAGAAACGGAGGATGTCTAGGAAGCCGCTGCGGAAGAGAGAGCGAATGAGATCGTCCTGGAGGGGAAGAAAGGAGGGGAGGGGGAGAGGGGAGGGAGAACGGATCAGGGAGGTTTTGGAGGCGTGGAGGCTGATGAGGAAGCGGAGGATGCCTGGGACGCCGCTTCACAAGAGAGAGCGAGCGAGATCGTCCTGAGAGGAAAACATGGGGGGAAATTTAGGGAGGGGGTCGAGTGAGCAGAATTGGGGGGAGTGGGGAGAAGGGGTGCGTGTTGTGTGCATCCCGAGCCTTATCTGACGGCAAGTTCACCGAGCCTGCTTGACGGCAGGTTTACCGAGCCTACCTGAAGGAAGCACAGGTGCGCCCATGCCGAGGCTGAGGATACGTCCGGCGGAGGGTCGGGGATGGCAAGGAGGTTCCGAACCAGAGTGACTATCATCTGTACCAGCCGCCAGTCGTCGCTGCTGCCACGCCCACTGCACAGGGGAGGAAGAGGGGGGAGGAGAGGGGGTGTGGAAAGGGAGGGGGGGGGGGGAGGGGGGGGGGGAGGAAAGGGGAGGGGTGGGTAAGTGGGGCACATCGTTACCACCAACCAGAGTGACTATCATCTGTACCAGCCGCCAGTCGTCGCTGCTGCCACGCCCACTGCACGGGGGAGGAGGGAGCAGGAAAGAAGGGGGGGCAGGGGTGGCGGACGGAGGGGGGAAGGAGGGAATGAGCGGGGGGCATCGGTCGCAACCAGAGTAACTATCATCTGCACCAGCCGCCAGTCATCGCTGCTGCCACGCCCACTGCATAGCAGAGGCGGGGGATGGATGGGGGAAGGCGGGCGTTGGAGGGGGTGCGTGAGAGGAAAGGGCAATCAATCAATTAATTAGTGGAAAGACATGAACAAACTGCAGTACGACGTGATAACAAATCAAGTCAGGGGAAGAGGGACGTGTATTCGGGGCATGGGGAGGGAAACAAGAAGATGAAACACAGAAAGGGAGGGAGGAGGAGGTGCGGATGGGTGGGGAGGAGCGAGAGGGTGGGGAGTGGGGGATCGGGGAATGCCTCGTATAACAACACACTCTCCCAACAGCACTCTTTTTAATCAATGGTATTTCTGTATCCTCACACTACCTTTGGATATTCTTAAGCGGGTCGACGAGCAACTGAAGCACAATCGCGATCGCATCGCTCTCCCCATTCCCCACATAGCCACTCCCACCACCACCTCCACCACCAGCACCAGCAGCGCCGCCATTTCTCGGTGTAATCCCTTTCGTTACAGCACCAGCAGCGCCGCCATTTCTCGGTATAATCCCATTCGTTACAGCACCAGTTCCGTGCAGCAGCGCGCTCTTAAAGCGCCTCTGGCAGTTCTGGTGCTCAAGCCGCAGCTTCTGCTGTTGCTGCCGCCCCGCCGCGTCCAAATCAGGCGGTGGTGGCGGCGATGGCATCGTAAGGAACACCAGCAGCTTGACTGTTGGGGGGGGTTGAGGGGGGCACAGAGGGTTGTAAGGAGTTAACAGCCTCTGCCAGTGGTGGTGCTCCAGCCTCAGCTTCTGCTGCTGCTGCCGCCCCGCCGCGTCCAGATCAGGCGGTGGTGGTGGCGATGGCATCGTAAGAAACACCAGCAGCTTGACTGTTAAGGGGGGGGCGGAGGGTGTGGGGGGGGTGGTGAGGGGGAAGGGGTGGGGACGTGGGGAAAGTCGGGGAATGGGGAGGTGGCGCTTGTAAGGAGCAGCGCGGAGTCGCGGCGGACTGGGCAGATGATGGGGACGAGGACCGCGCGAACAATGCCCCACCGACCCACCGAGTTCTTGGAAAGGGGCGCTTACCGGCGTTAAGGAGCAGCGCGGCGTCGCGGCGGTATCGGCAGATGATGGGGACGAGGTCCGTGCGAACAACGTCCCACCGACCCAGCTGCACGAGCACGGTCGATTATATAGGCACCGAGTTATTGACTTGGAAGAGGCACTTACCGGCGTTGAGGAGCAGAAAGGAGTCGCGGCGGTATCGGCAGATGATGGGAACGAGGTCCGTGCGAACGATGTCCCACCGACCCAGCTGCACCAGCACGTCGCGCGACACGGGGTGGTCCCGCCGCATCAGCCGCTGCAGATCGCGCAGGGAGCCTGAGAGACGGGAACGAGGGGGGGGAGGGAGAAGTGTGACGGATGGCGAGGTGATAAGCGAGCATAGATATCTCTACTGGTGTTCGCGCCGCATCAGCCGTCGTGTTAAGGGCAAGGCAGGCGGCAAGATATACCGAGGCAGTCTTCTCCCTTCTCGTACATCGTCCGCCCCTCCTCGTCCTCCCATTTCCTCCCTAACCGCGTCGCGACGCTGCTGATGATACTCGGATGAATAAGAACCATGTCGATACTGGGTGTCTGAACTTAGCAATTCCGTGCGAAAAAAACCCTTTACATCCGCTCTTTTATCAGCAACATCCTAATCCTGGCTGCGTGTCTGATAGTGCCGTGGATCCTACGATTCTTCTCGCACGAATGCTACGAGATTTTCAGTCGGCGCTGACTGTGCAAGCTTCGCCTATACAGGATGCATGTGATGAACGTATTGACTACGAGCAGCAGCGGAGGTAGCTTGATGCAAAGAGAAGTCAAACGGCCAACAAATGGGACCCTTGGTTCCTCCTAGGTCCGTATTCAAATTAGCGGGACCTATCGATCCGGTGACGTTCTCTCGGTACTCCCATGGACGAAATCGTGTAGAAGTTCCTCAAGCCAGGGTGGCATTGGACTGCTTGTAAACGCGGCCTCGAAGAATTTAAGTTTGCAAATTTTCTAATCGCGCGCCTCGACATATCCGCTTTATTGGAAGATCTTGTTTCCAAATCGTCGTGGCCTTTCAGTTGTCGCTTAGGATCAGTACTCTTATCGAGATACATGGATTTTCTCACCGCGTAGGGTGTACTTTCGAACATTTGTAACCAGCCAGACTGAACAAACTTATCGAGGCATATCATCCGAGCGAGTCGCTCGCAAATTACCAAATGTCAACCGCTTCTCCGAGCCGCCACATGTCGCATGCAACCCACGCTGCCGCAACGGCTCCCCCAACCCAAATCAAACAACCCCTTCCATCCAACCTCTCACCCCAAATTCAACCTCTCGCCCAAATTCATCTTCCAATTGCCCCTAATCCAGTCTCCCATTTTTTCTGTTTGCTAGTAGAAGGAATTACTGCCCACCCTCTTGTTTCGCTGGCAGGAGCGTCATCGCAACTGCATGCTTTCTGGTCGCTTCCTCCGTTCTTAACGACATGGGGCGGCGCGTGGCATGGGTGGTTAGCGAAAACCGCCCACGCTGGGTCGAGTTTCTTGTTAGGGTCCTGGAGCGGAACCGAAAAAAGAAAAGGAATTGATGAGCAGGCGCCGCGATACGCGCAGGAGCCGTATCGTCAATGCGCGCAGCCCTGCAAGAAGCTGTTGAATCATCCGTAACCACTCAGAGCGCGTATCCGCTACACCAAACGATCGGTGGTTGCACTTAACGCCCCTAACCATGTCCAAACGGTGCTATCGAGCCGCCGCGACGCGACGCCAGGAGACGCTCGCAGAAACCCTCACTCAACTGCTGTGCCCTCTGTTCGATGCTCACCGCAACTACGCTCACGGAACGCTTTGGATTCGAGGCTTTCGCCTTCCCGCGAACGAAACTATAAGTCAGGCGGATCTGTTGCTTCCAATCATCATCAGCTGAACACAAGCAGCTGTTAAACAAAGAGCTTGAGACAGCGGGTTCTCAAGCCGAAACCAACAGCTCCAGCTTCCTTTGTTTCCGACTTACTGCTAGTACAAATTAATCGCCGCAAGATCCTCTCCTCAAGTCCCTGAACCACCATGGCGCTCCCTCGCGGCTTCTTCACTGCGGCAACGCTCGCCCTCGTCGCCCTCCTCGCGGCGTCCCTCCTCCCCGCCGCTCAGGCGCGCAAGGACGTGCTCAGCTCCGCGGACGACGCTTCCGCCGCACTCCCCGCGTCCGCCTCCGCGGATGCCGCCGTCTCTACTTCCGCCAGCGCTGCTGCGGGCGGCGCAAGCGGCGCTGAGGCGATCGCTGATATGATCCAGCGCCAGGGCCCGCGGATTCTTCACTATGAGTCTTATAACGCGGATGAGCCTCTCCCGGAGCACCTGAAGGATATGGAGGTGCACAGGCGCGAGCTTCAGTCTAACCCCCCCCTTACCGATAGTGAGTGAACTTATCTTATCGCATAAGCCCATCTCCTACCTTCTTGCTGTTTGCAACAAAGGCTTAGCCTCATCTCAAAATCCCTTTACTAAAAGGCAGAAGTGTTCCCTCCCCTTAACGCTCCCCCCTCCCCCGTTCTCCCCCTCCCGCCTCTCCGCAAATGCTTCCCCATAAATTCCAGATTGCGGCAGGACGACCCTGAGAATCGCTCAGAAGTACGTGGGCGTTTGGTACCAGAAGAACTACATTTTCAATCTGACAATGGTGAACAGGTGCAAGTACAGCATCCTGAGCCCGCTCGTCCTCGCCAACTGCTTCGACTTCGGCAATTTGATGGTTGGTTCGCTCGACAACCCCGCGCGCTACCCTTCGCAGTTCCAAAACGTTCAGGTCTTCACTCCTTGCTGCGTTGAGAGGTTCAAGAAGGGCAACTGCGCGGTTCAATTCAACCAGGGCCCCAGGGGTAATATCCAGTTTTACCCCGGGCAGACTCAGAGCTTTCTTTACGCGTGGAATTACCCGGTTGAGCCGTGCGTTCGGGAGCTGCACTTTGTGAACGGGGATACGTATTTCATGCCCGACGAGTTTGCGCGTACGGAGTGTACTCGTCCTGTATTGTATGGTATTCCTAAGTAGACGGGGTGGATAATCTGTTTTAGAATGTGCTAGGGGAAGGGTACCGGACTTGAGAAGTCCAGCCTTGCGAAAGGCTGATTGGGTGGATGGATGGAAGGTGTGGATGCAGCAAATTGGGTGGATGGAGTTGATGGGGCAGAGATAAAAGGGCTTGTAGATGTTTCTGATGTGTGCTTGTCTGTGAGACTTCAGTTTTACAATGGAATAAGGCCCTGGGTGAAAATTACATCTATTCTCGCCCTTTTGGAACCTTCGTCAAACAGTTGGCAAGCTTCAGAACTGGTAGGAGCATGTCATTACCTTCTTGCTTCTGTCCGATCCTTCTTGTTCGATTCTTTCGGAAGCTGTGTTGCCATGTGTGATGAGGCTTTGTTGAAGCAAATGTTGCGTTCTCCAGAAACCATTGAAGAGCCAAGGTTTAGCTGAGGTTGATACCTACCGTAGGTTTCAGACATGTCCTAGCAGAAATGTACGGTATTTCCAGCCGTAAATCGCAACTGACTTTATCGCATGATGCCATGTTGGACATCCTGAAACTTGTATACAGTCCATACGAATATAATCAGATTTATGTTGGCGCCAGAAGCAAGCTCGTATCGTGCACGCTCCAGATAATACATTGAAAATGGCATGTCAACGGTTCATAATGAGGATGATATGCTCATTTAGGAGTCATGGCAGAGTCAAAGATATAGGAAGGAATGATGCGTTCATAATCTTGATAGTGGAATTGAAGTGGGTGAATAATATAGCGCGTAATGTCTACGTTCTAACGCGTTTATGAGCTGTACATTTTTACCAAGTTTTCGAGCGCATCGTTCGAGCGAGTCGCAAATTCCCAATGTCAACCGCTTTTCCGAGCCGCCACATGTCACATGCAACCTCTGCTGCCGCAGTGGCCCCCCAAATCAAACAGCCCCTTCCATTCCAACCCAACCTCTCCCCGAACGCCCCCCGTCAACCCAAATTCATTTCCCATTTCCCCCAAATCCCTTCCTCCCAACAATTCCCATTCTCTTCCCACCCCCTTGTTTCACTGCCAGGTGTCGTCGCATCGCAACTGCTTCGTTGCTCACGCTTCATCAGTTCTTAACGACATCTCGAAACCCGTGGCGTAGGGAGTTAGCAAGAACCGCCTAAGGTGGGTATATTTTGTTATTAGGGTCGCTAAAAAATGTTCTGCAAAGCTACGTGCCGCCGAAGCACGCAGGTGCCGTATCGTCGATGCGCTCAGTCCTGCAAGAGGCTGTTGGATTCTCCGAATCCACTCAGAGCGCGTCTCGAACCCCCCAAACGACCGCTAGTTGCAAGTAACGCATCTAGCCATGTCTAGAAAGAGCAATCACCGCGCCGCCGCGAAGCGACAGCTGCACGGTCGGGAAAACCTAGCAGAACCGACCTTCAGCGTGTAACACCTTCACCGAGAATGACCTTTACCCTGAACCTTCACTCACTGAGCCTAACGAATTCTATACGCCCTCTGGTCGGTGCTAACCGGTGCTACTACGCTCACGGGACGCTTGAGTAACGACGTCTCGCCTTCGCCTTCCCCGCGAACTAATAAATTCAGACGAATTGGTTGCTTTCAATCATCATCAGCAGAACACAAGCAGCTGTTAAACAAGAGCTCGAGGCAACGGATTCTCAAGCAAAAATCAACACCTTCAGCTTCGTTTGCTACAATTTGACGTTCCTCGCAACTATGGCGCTCCGTCACGGCCCTCGAGGAGCATCAGTGGAGCTAGTGCAATCTAGGAGACCGGATATCTCGGCTGCTGCGGCGCTCGCCCTCGTCGCCCTCCTCGCGGCGTCCCTCCTCCCCGCCGCTCACGCGCGCAAGGACGCGCTCAGCTCCGCGGACGACGCTTCCGCCACCACCTCCGCCCTCCCCGCGTTTGCCTCCACGGATGCTGCCGTCTCCGCCGCCGCTGAGGGTGGCGCGAGCGGCGCGGAGGCGATCGCGGATATGATTCAGCGTCAGGGCCCGCGGATTCTCAACGTGGAGTCTTATAACGCGGATGAGCCTCTCCCAGAGCACCTGAAGGACATGGAGACGCACAGGCGCGAGCTTCAGTGGAAGCCCCCCCTTACCGATAGTGAGTGAGCTTATCTTATCTCATCTCCTACTTTCTTGCTGTTTGCAACAAAAGCTTAGCCTCATCACAAATTCCATTTACTAAAAGGAAGAAGTATTCCCTCCCCTAATCCCTCCTCCCTCCCCCGTTCTCCCCCTCCCCTCCTCTCCGCCAACTCAACCCCATGAAACCCAGATTGCGGCAGGACGACCCTGAGAATCGCTCAGAAGTACGTGGGCGTGTGGTACCAGAAGAACTACATCTTCAATCTGACCATGGTGAACAGATGCAAGTACAGCCTCCTAAGCCCACTTATCCTCTTCAACTGCTTCGATTTCAACAACCTTATGGTTGGTTCGCTCGACAACCCCGCTCGCAAACCGACCCGCTTCCAGAACGTTCCGGTCTTCACTCCTTGCTGCATTGAGAGGTTCAAGAAGGGTAACTGCGCGGTTCAATTCAACCAGGGCCCCAGGGGTGATGTTCAGCTTTACCCCGGGCAGACCCTGAGCTTTCTTTACGCGTGGAATTTCCCGATTCAGCCGTGCGCTCGGGAGCTGCACTTTGCGAACGGGGATACTTATTTCATGCCCGACGAGATGGTGGGCACGGAGTGTACATTCCCTATTTTGTACGGTGTTCCTAAAAAGTAGGACCGGGTTACACGGTATGCTGGCTGTAGAACGTGCTAGGGGATGGGTAGGTACGGGACTTTAAATTCGCCTTGCGAAAGGCTGATTGGGTGGACAGAGGGGCGGTGATGTTGCAGCAGACGAGGCTGATGGAGTTGAAGGAGCAGAGAAAAAGGGCCCGCGGTACCGGTAGATGCTTCTGATGTGTTCTTGTCTGTTGAGACCTTGAATAATAGTGGAATAAGGCCCTGGGTGAAATTCGTTTCCAGTATGTGACCCTGCTGACCCGATGTTGGAGGAACATGCCCCATGGACCATGAGGCTGTATGGAGTGAACGAAGCCAAAGGGTTGAGGACGCCTGTTGCAGTGTGTGTGTGAGGAATGCTCTTTATATCCTCGAGTTTTGAGTCAGGTCAGACTCGAATCTACGGAAGTCTTGACTCACACCATGTCTAGAGCCAAACGGGTGCAGTAGCCTGTTCCACACACTGCGGGGTATGTCAGTGTCAGTGAGTGCCCTCTGACGAGCATCAGTGACGCTGTAGAAGCATCAGGTAGTGCTCTCTACAAGCCTCAGTTACACTGGTGCATCTTACACTTCTTTCTACGGTAGACAGCCCAGGGACCAGTTACACCGTCCAGTTCGGACCTGCTTCACACCTGGTGCAAATATTTAGGAAAATAAAGTTACCAACCCAGAAGTGTCTGGTCCAGACGTGCATTCTCACAACCAACATCGATGGGTTCTCAGACTGCTCCTGTACTTGCCATAACCATTTCGGTAGGAACAATGGTACCAGCAGGCCCAGTAGCAAGAAAAGGAGATTCCAGTCCAGAGCTGTCAGGGCTGTACAGAGGACGAAGAGGGAGGAGTTGCTCTGCTAGAGCAGCTCTGGCGATTTTGGAGACGTCTCAAAGGGAGATTCCAGTCCAGAGCTATCAGGGCTGTACAGAGGACGAAGGAGGCGGAGCTGCTATGCTGGAGCAGCTCTGGCAACTCAAACCACGTTCAAAGCAGGTCCCGTTTTCGAGTCGACTCAAAAGCAGATCTCGTTTGATAAGCATGAGCACAGAAGGAGAATCAGCAGAACGCAGCAGGACAGAGCAGCAGGCGAGAACAACAGGGCAGAGCAACAGGACAGGAGGTTCCCTCACTTGATGAACATGAGTAAGAGCACAGCAGCAGGCACAACTAGCAGTGGCCACACCACCAGCACCCCCACCAGGTGACCTTTGAGTCGACTCAAAAGTCAGCAGCAGGAGAGAAGGGTGTATCACTTCACAAACATGAGCAAGAGCACAGTAGCAGGCACAACTAGCAGTGACGACACCACTAGCACTCCCACAAGCACCACACACGACCAGTGCCATTTCCTCCCATCCCCTCCCCCCTCCTTCCCTCCTCCCCCACTCCCTTCTCCATCTCCCCCCATAGCCACATAAGCTGAAGAGGTCCCCCCAACCCCTCCCCCTGCCCGTCCCCTCCCCCCCCTACTCCCCCCTCCCCCTCCCCGCTCTGGAATCCCACCAATCCGCTTCCGCGCATTTGCCAGCTCATCGCTCCCTATCCCGCTCTCCAGCAGCCACACAAGCTCCTGAATCCCCTCCTGCAGCCGCGCCAACCTGTCGCCGACCCGCGCTGACAGCTGCTGACGCGCCGCCAGCTCAGACACGAGCCGTTCCACGTCAGCGTCGAGCCCTCCGACTCCCGAGGTGGATTGGGAGGGGCGGAGGTAGGGGAGGGAGGAGATGGAGGAGCAGAGGAGGCGGGAGAGGAGGCATTCGGGGGTGGCTGGGGAGCAGAGCTGCTCGACTAAGTCGTTGGACGGGGCACAGCCGGTCACGTCCGTGTACCTGTGAGAGCAGGAGGAATAGAGAGAGAAGAATGATTAAGTTTTAGGATGGGGCACAGCCTGTCACGTCCGTGTACCTGTGGTGGGTGCGTGGGGAGAAGGGAGAGATGGGGGTGATGGGGGTGATGGGGGTGATGTGATGGGGGTGATGGGGGTGATGGGGGTGATGTGATGTGATGAAGGTGATGGGGGTGATGGGGGTGATGGGGGTGATGTGATGTGATGGGGGTGATGGGGGTGATGGGGGTGATGTGGGTGATGTGATGTGATGGGGGTGATGGGGGTGATGTGATGTGATGGCGGTGATGGGGGTGATGGGGGTGATGTGATGTGATGGGGGTGATGGGGGTGATGGGGGTGATGGGGGTGATGTGATGTGATGGGGTTGATGGGGTTGATGGGGTTGATGTGGGTGATGTGATGTGATGGGGGTGATGGGGGTGATGTGGGTGATGTGATGTGATGGGGGTGATGGGGGTGATGGGGGTGATGAGGGTGATGGGGGTGATGGGGGTGATGGGGGTGATGGGGGTGATGTGATGTGATGGGGGTGATGAGGGTGATGGGGGTGATGTGATGTGATGGGGGTGATGGGGGTGATGTGATGTGATGGGGGTGATGTGATGTGATGGGGGTGATGGTGGTGGTGGTGGTGGTGGTGGTGGTGGTGGTGGTGGTGGTGGTGGTGGTGGTGGTGGTGGTGGTGGTGGTGGTGGTGGTGGTGGTGGTGGTGGTGGTGGTGGTGGTGGTGGTGGTGGTGGTGGTGGTGGTGGTGGCGGCGGCGTGTGTGGGTGTCTGTGGTTGGGTGTGTTGGAGACGGGTCGGGAAACATCTAAGGTGTGGGTGGGTGTGAGGCGAGAAGGGAAGAAACAGGAGATGACCCACAAGCCGTCCATATTCAATCCACTCCCCCTCACCTTTCCCCCTTTACCCTCCCCCCCTTTCTCCTTCCAACCCCAGCCTCTCTGTGCCGCCTCACTCACTTCATAGCCCATTCACCACCTAAGCCCCTCCCTACACCCCCTCACGCGCACCTTCTCCTTGCAGTATCCCGGACTCCCATATTCAGCCTGAGCGCCACGTCACCAGCCTCCTTGTGCCGCCGCCATAGCTCATTCACTGCTATAGCCCAGCCCCCATCACTAGACCCTGCCCCACCCTTCATCCGCTCACACCTACCTTTTCCTGGCAGTATCCCGGACTCCCATATTCAGCCTGAGCGCCACGTCACCAGCAGCCTCCATATGCCGCCGCCATAGCTTCTCCACCATTGCTGCCGCCACTGACGCTCAATTGCACCCCTCAGGCCATCCCTGTCCCTCCCAGCATCCCCACGAATGTGCCCCTCCCATCAACCCACTCATGCGACGCCCAAACGTGCCCCATGAAGGTGCCCCTCAAGCCATCCCTTCCCTCCCTACCCCTCCCTACACCCCCTCACTCGCACCTTCTCCTCGCCGTGTCCCTCACGCCCATGTTCAATCGGAGCGCAACGTCACCAGCCTCCTTGTGCCGCCGCCATAGCTCATTCACTGCTATAGCCCAGCCCCCATCACTAGACCCTGCCCCACCCTTCATCCGCTCACACCTACCTTCTCCTGGCAGTATCCCGGACTCCCATATTCAATCGAAGCGCCACGTCACCAGCCTCCTTGTGCCGCCGCCATAGCTTCTCCGCCATTGCAGCCGCCACTGACGCTCTAATGTGCCCCATGGCCGCATTTCCCGCTCCCCTGCTGCTGCTGCTGATGCCACTGCTGCCGCTGCTATTGTTGCCACTGTTGCTATTGGTCCCGATGCTGCCGATTCCCGAGCCTAACCACGCCCCCAGGCCTCCAACCCTACTCACCACACCCCCTCCTCCCCCAATCCCTCCGCTTCCCAGTTTCCCGCCGTTGTTCAGGCTGCCCGAGTGCTGGTCATTTCTGGGGTGATTTACCCTGTCAGACTCCCCTGTGAAGCTGCTGCTGATAAGGTCTCTCAGGTTTCCTGTCACCGTGCCTTGCAGTCGATCCAGCTCTGACGTCATCCTCTCTGCAAGCTTCTGCGAAATTAAGAATACAGGATGGGAGCAGAAGATAGGTTGGAAATCCTTACGAGTCAGGCAGTGTTTCGTTATAAGCACAAATTGGCTCATGCCCGGTTGTTATGCTGGTAATGTTATACATAATAAAATTCACCTCCACTGCATCTTTGCTTGATAATAGCCGATAGTCGTCCACAAACCCTAGCAGCCTCGCTATAGTCACTTTCAAATCGCGCAACTCCTGATCCACCTCCCCCGCTCGCGCCAAAAACTGATCCACTTGCGCCGCTAGCGCACCACCCGCCGGAATTCCAGCCACTGCCGCCGTGGCTACCGCCGTCGCCTCCGAATCCGCATCCCCCGCATCCCGCGACGCGATGCGCTGCGCCACGTCATCGGATCTAGGCCCCGCTATAAGCTGCTGTTGTAACTGTCCGCATGTGCTTATAGAGGAGGTTCGCGCAGAAGCGAGGTCGACTGAGGTGAAGGAGGACGAAACGGACGAATCAGCGTCCGTAGCAGGTGTAACATTGTCATTCGCGAAATGATGAGCGTTTGCGAAACTCGTCGGTGCGAAACGGTCGGGGGTTGCGAAATCGGCAGGCGCGGCCGCGTGAGAGGCGCCGAGAAGGGACGGGGAAAAAGACGGACGAGGAAGCGAGGCTTGATGAGGGAGTTTTGGGGAAGGCGGACCGGACGGAACGTCAGAATCGAGAGCGAGGGAGAAGACGGAATCCGTGTCGTCAAGGTCGTTAGAGCAACGGACGGAAACTGACGCCGGAATTTCGGACGATAAGCGGTGCAAGCTAGGATTCTCAAGGGACACGTGTCGCGGAATTCCTGGAGCAGCAAGCGGGCTTTGTCTGGCCGACATAATAATCTCCGTACAGGTGTTTCCGCAAAGAATAGTTTATGCAAGCGATAATCTTCGTACACTGTATGCAGGAACTGAAACTGGAGACTAGTTTAAGAGCCTGTATTTGCGAGGTAATTGACTATTAATGTGACGGCCTAAGAAACAGAGCTAGTAGGCTGCTGTATGTCGTTTCACTTACGCGCTGGCTACGAACATATTGTTACACTGTTTCGTAGAATAGTCACACTCGCTAATGGATGTTGTCGGAACATCGTGATCGTTCGACGCGGCGCATATTTTGGGGGGCATGGAGAACACAAGGGACGCAGAGGAGCACGAAGGTACGCCTAACGATTGCTGTACCGCATGCGAAGAATCTCTAACGCGAAAAAGAAGAAAGCTCCAACCGCGGAAAAGGGAGACTGCAGTAAGCTGCTGGTACCGACTGGATGTCGTCACTAATGAGTCTAAGGTGGAGGTATATTCAGCTACTCCTAGAAAGGCAGTGCTGAATAAAGCCTTCAGTTCATTATGAGGGTGTGCCCCCAAATTCCGTTTCAATGCAACATAACAAGGTTCTTTGCGCTTTCGAGCTCTCAATAGATTTACAGCGCGGTTGAGTAGGATTCAAAGGGAGCTCGAACGTTGCCGTGTGCCCCCTCTTCACGTGACCAGTTTCTGTGCTGCAATTCTAACCGTTGAGCCAACCTCAGTTGCTGTTCGGTGTTCTCGAGGAAGTGTAGCATGACCGTCAAGTTACACTTGTGCGGATAACAAACCAGACGGCGACTGGCCGTCGAGCTTCGCCCATTGGACGATAACTTCGACGGACAACCAGCTGTAACGGATGTCGGCTGTTGACTGTTCTCCTACACGAGCTTCCAGAGCGATGACCGAGTTGTGGGCACGCGCTGCTTCGACTCGGAACCAATAGGAAACAGTGTCGTGTGGAGCCAGAGGTTTGGTTTGGACCCCAGGGTAGGCCCCCGGTAACCGAACTACGCCCACAAAACATGCAATTCCAAGCCTGAGACAGAACTTCGGCATTTGTTCGGGTTAGCGAACGTCATCCGACCAGTCAACGGCCACACCAATTTCCCAGCATTTTAGCTGAAACGGACGTGGGATTGTACTGATTGCACACTAGTGGAAAAATGCCACAGATGAAAATACAATTGGGCACTGAGACAAGCACTATTGGATTTAAAAGGACTCTCCTTGCTGCTGCTTCGCAGCTTCAGCTGCTGCGTGCACTGAGGTGCTGCTACTGCTGCTAGTGCAATATTCTAGAAACATTGAAGCACAGCAAGAGACGGTGGTAAGGCACAGGGTTTACAGACGGCGACCGCGGCGACCACCCTTTTTGCGAGTGCTGTCGGTGGGGATAGGTGTCACATCCTCTGCACGACAACACGGTCCCATCCCAGACAAGCAATCACACCAAAAGCGAATATTAGAAACCAGGACAACAAAATCACATCATGCAATATCACCCTCAACACCTGGGAAGAATGGTAGCAGCTGAAGCGATAACTGGACCAGAAATTAACCAGGAGTGGAAATTGCGCACTAGGGAACAAAAAGGTGACAAGGATCGTACCAATGCGGCCAATCTTGAGGCCGGAACGGGCAAGAGCACGGATGGCGGACTGAGCTCCAGGGCCGGGCGTCTTGGTGCGGTTACCACCAGTAGCCCTCAGCTTGATGTGCAGGCCCGTGATGCCCAGCTCCTGGCGGAAGGGGGGAAGTGAGAGGAGGGAGGAGGGGAGGGCAGGGAAGAGGGAGAATTGGGGAGAGATGGGGTGCGTGGGAAATGAGGGGAGAGGTGGAGGCGCGATGTGGGACAATGTAGGGTTTGGGTGGAATATAAGTTTGACTAATTTGCTGCTCTGTGGGGCGCAGCTTCTGAGAGGCGGAAGTGTGAGGCCACGGGGGCGGGTGGGGCGGGTGAGGCGGGGCAGGCGGGTGAGGCGGAGCGTCAGAGGGTGGGAGGGGGAGGAGGGGGGGGGGGGGAGAGCATGGTGAGGAGAAAAAGGCAGATTCGACCCTGTGATTTCCAGGTATCGGTGTGAGTGGGAAGTTAGGGGAGACAAGTCAGGAGATAGATCGACAGTCCCTTGATGCCAGCACGTACCTTGCACCTGATTGCTACGTCCTGCGCCGCAAGCATAGCCGCGTATGGGGACGACTCGTCGCGATCGGCCTTCACCTTCATGCCGCCTGCCCACCCACAAACAAAAGAGCCAACGACACGGAGGAGCAAGAAATCAATGGCAGGCGGAGAGGAGATGAGCGGGGGTGGGGGAGGGGGGTAGCGAGGGAGGAGGGGGGAAGAGCGTGAGGGTGCGGAGGGGGAGGGAAAAGCGACCCGCGGGAACCTGGAAATGTGGTGCTTACAGCACACATCGAACGGCGGATTCAAACGAATGAAAGTAGAAACTGCGCGGTAGGCTCCTTCTAGTAACTCCACCAGCGAAAGGTTCGACTTAGTACTAAGGCTGCGGAGCGGGAGTGAGAATTTGGCACTGTGGGCTGCGTACGTACGGCGACGTGGCGTGCTAACCATAACCACGCGGTAATCATTACCATGCGCTAACCATTACCATGCGCTAACCACCATGCGCTGTAACCCGGTGCTGAAGGTACGGTACGGCTACACCGTAAGCACGAACTAACCGGAAACCCTAACGCGCCGACAACACTCTTTGAAACTAGGGGGAAAGGGGCCAGAGCAGTAAGCACGGAGAGGTACACGGAGGCTTGGAACCTACGACTGCGCTACATGTTTTTTGGGGGGGAAGAGAGGGGCATACCAGTGACTCGGCACATTGTTTCCTTGCCGGAGAGATCTGTCACGTGCTGCGGGTAATGGCAGGAAGGGAAGAGAAGATCGGGACGGGGGAAAGATGGTGGGAGGGGAAGGGGAGGAGAGGTAAGTGGCAGGGAAAGAAAGTCGACGGTAGACGGAAACGGGAGAAAGTAGACGTTGTATGGCTGTTGCGCCGGACCAGAAGCTACAGCGAATGCGATGGAACGCAGACAGGAAGACGAGTTGAAGATTAGAAAAAGCAGACACTACCGTGGCACAGATGTGAAGAGACAGTGGACGAACTGCGCGAAATGTTACTCACCACGAAGGTGTCGTTGAAGGAAGCGAAGATGTGTGCGACGCCGAAGACGATCTCGCCCTCTCGCACCTGCGGGCCAGCGGGACCCTTCTCTTCCTTCACTTCTTTCACCTTCTTCTTGGAAGACTGCGGGGTAGCGGGAGAGGAGGGGGAGAACAGGCGGAGTAGAAGGAGCGGGACACGGAGGATATTGTTGAAAATAGGAACGTGACCCTTCGCATCTTTCGCTTTCTTCGTCAACGACTGAGGGATACGAGACAAGGGTGACGCCGACCAAACGAGACGCTACCACGAGACAGGACAAGTGAGGGACAAGTGAGACGAGGACGTGGACGAAGAAAGTCAGAGAGGCAACGGGGCGAGATGGGGAGAAAGGGAGACCAGGGGGGAAGGCGCGCGCTACGGGGGACAGAGGAGGATGACGGGAAGAGGGTGGCGACGAGAGAGAAGGGAGTAAATGTTGACCACCAAACGAGACATGTGAATTAGGAGTTCAGCCCGTGAAATGCCGTCAATAGAGCACATGAAAGATAAGGATTCTGGCACAATACTACCCCCTCAATAAGTAAATTCAGCTCAGAATGGAATTTAGACTCTAGAAAATCACCGCGCAACCTCAGGTGGCCGAACACAAACTACTCTTGAAGGCATCAGCCCACGTGCTCCAGAACCTTCAGACTATGAAAGTCTTCCGGCGAACTCGGGCAATGAACGCATTTGTGCGAAGGACAACGGCCATCGCACTTACTGGACCTTCCCACAACCGCCGAACGAGCCCCTACCACGCGATACACGGTGTAAGCAATGCGAAGCCCAATTCATAGCCTCCCTGACAAAAACCCTCACACCCCACACTGATCCAGACCGAACGCCCCGCGCGACCACTGCAAAACGATAAATCTACTCCCCAACGCACGCACGGTGAGGAACACGAGCTAAAGATGGGTTAGGATCAGGAGGACTTGCCATGGCTGTGGTTGTGGGAAGCTGAGCGGGAAGGCCGCTGGGAGGAAGGGAAACCCTAACGACTGGAGAAAGAGAGGAGAGGGAAAAGGAGGCGAGGAAGAAAGAGGCTGTGGAGAAGAAGCAAGGAGAGCCAAACCAGCAGTGCCCAAGGCGAATGAAAACCGCTGGTGACGAAAATTTAACGTTGCCGCAAAACTTCGGGAATAGTTGTAACAGAATTTGACGGCAAACGTTGAACGGGACGATTGCCGTCATCGTGCCGTCAGATAGGATGCTCTACTCTTCGATGCAAGTGTCAATGGCAAGAGCCTTTTCGGTCTTCGCGAGGAGCCCACGAATCCTGATCCAAAGCCGATGCATTTGCGCAGTGAGAGTGTTCCTTTCATTAATAGAAACTGATACACTCAACACTCTCCACAGAAACGCTGGTCTGCAAATTAAATTACCGGTATTGCAATCAGATTATTGCAATCAGACATGGTGCAAAAGTGCTACGCTGGTGGGGGAGGGCATACAAGCAGATTATTGCATAATTAACGACATGTCTTGCAGCTTCTGTGGACCAGACTTCAGAATGACCTTGATTGCACATATGTAGGCCTTCATATTTGCAGCAAAAGTGGCAATCTTGATTGCTTAACAAAATTCATTCTTGCTAATGTATTTTTCTTAAACTGGCCTGTGAACTATATGCATGCGTCAACATGTCAAAAATAGCTGAAGCACCACTCAGACACTAATTTCACTTCTTTTTGCCAGCTGCGGCAGCAGCAGGAGCGGGCGGCGCATCACTCTTATCATCCGCCAGGTTGAGCAGCAGCGAATCAGAGGAGAGGAAGACGCGGTTGCTGCTATTGGCCAGCGTGTTGGCGATCTCCCTGGCCGCCTCAATCTTCCTCAGAGTGATGAAGGAGGGGTTGTTGGCGATGGCCTCTCCTATCAGCTGCGCACTCGTGGCCTCTCCCTGTCATGTGGGAGAAGGGGGGAGAGGAGGGGGGCCAAAGGGGAAGCGAGGAGAAGGGGAGGGAAACAAGGAGTGATGAAGGAGGGGTTGTTGGCGATGGCCTCTCCTATCAGCTGCGCACTTGTAGCTTCTCCCTGTTGTGGCAGAGGGGGAGAGAGGGAGGCAGGTAGAGGGTAAGAAAGAAAAGTGGAGGAGGGGAGGAGGTAGACTGATGAAGGAGGGGTTGTTGGCGATGGCCTCTCCTATCAGCTGCGCACTCGTGGCCTCTCCCTGTTGTGTGAGAGTGAGGAGGAACGGGGAAAAAACGAGAGGGGTAGGAGGAGGGCGAGGGGCACAGGAATATGTGGAGGGGTTGTTGGCGATGGCCTCTCCTATCAGCTGCGCACTTGTAGCCTCTCCCTGTCGTTTGGAAAACAAGGGGGGAGCGTGGAAGGGACAGAGAGGCGGGAACGGAGGGAGGGGAAGAATGGAGGGGGGGTGGGAAAGTATTGTGATGAAGGAGGGGTTGTTGGCGATGGCCTCTCCTATCAGCTGCACACTCGTGGCCTCTCCCTGTTGTGAGGGGGGAGATGTGGGGAAGGGGAGAGTGGACAGTGGGGAAGGGCGAGGGGGGACAGAAATGAGTGGTGATCAAAGCAGTGCACATAGAAAGAGCACTTACAAGAGAAGAATAATCAAACTTCGCTCCCAGTTCACACACTCACATTCATCCATACCCCACTATCCCCCCACCTAAGCTCGGATAATAGCTCCGCGCTTGTCCCGCTCTGCCTTCTGAACTCTGCACCACAAACTTGGCGCGCTCTGCCTCCTGTGACTGCTGCTGGGTGCCTAGGGAACACATAGAGTGCACGATCTCCCCACCTGACCCGCTTATCCCCCCTGCCTTCCCTCTCTCCCACACGCACACACCTGAGCTCGAATGATCGCTCCCCGCTTGTCCTGTTCCGCCTTCTGGACCACAAACTTGGCGCGCTCTGCCTCCTGTGAGCGCTACTCTCCCCTCTCACCCCCTCCCCTACCCCTTACACATGTGCGCGCACACACGCACCTGCGCTCGAATAATAGCTCCCCGCTTGTCCTGCTCCGCCTTCTGCACCACGAACTTGGCGCGCTCCGCCTCCTGAGCCGCCACCTGCTTCGCCTCGATGGCTGCTGTGAACTCGCGCCCGAACGTGAGGTTGGTGATCGACACATCGTCCAGAGCGATGTTGAAACTGGCTGCTCTGTCCTCCAGGATACGCCGAATCTCCCGACTCACAGACTGGGGGTTGGTATGGGAGGGAAGGGGGAGGGGGAACGGGAGGGAGAGGGGAGGGAACATCGTTGGACGCTGCTCGGTGCGTGACCAAGATTACAGTAACCAAGAAACTAACCTCTTACTGCGTGATGACTTTTGAGTCGACCCAAAAGTCAACTCGTTGGACGCTGCTCGGTGCGTGACCAAGATTACAGTAACCAAGGAACTAACCTCTTACTGCGTGATCAGCTGGCTGGCATTGTAAGAGGTCACCAGCTGGCTGGCATTACACTGAGCCACCACGGCTGGTTGATTTGAGCGTCTCTCCTGCACGATTGTTTTGAGACGTCTCAAAACAACTCTGTTTACACGTGGCGTGATCAGCCACCACGGCTGGCTGATTTGACCGTCTCTCCTGCACGATGGACGGCAGCACCCTCTGCTTTCCCATAGCTCTTCCCAGCCTCCCCGAATACAGTAACCAAGAAACTAACCTCTCGCAGGGTGATGAGCTGGCTGGCATTCTACTGAGCCACCACGGCTGGCTGATTTGAGCGTCTCTCCTGCACGATGGACGGCAGCACCCTCTGCTCTGCTCCCTGCACCGCAGCCTTCACCTGGAGAAATGTTCTCACAGCTCAGTACCGCCTAGTACCGCCTAGTACCGCTCAGTACAGTCACGCACCTCTCGCTGGGTAATCCGCTGGCTGGCATTGTAACGAGCCACCACGGATTCAAACAAATTCCTGCACGGTTGAAGGCAACACCCCGTGCTTCCCCATCTATATTGGAATGACTTTTGAGAATTCTCAAAAGTCATTCCGATACGAGCCACCACGGATTCAACACATTTCCTGCACGGTTGAAGGCAACACCCCGTTCTTCCCCATCTCCCCAACTCTCCCTACAATCCCATGATGTATGTCAGCCTTCTCTCCTGTTATAAGCACGCACCTCTCGCTGCGTGATGAGCTGGCTGGCGTTATACTGAGCCACCACGGATTTCAGCGTCTCCTGCACGATTGAAGGCAGCACCCGCTCTGCATAGTCCTGCCCTAGTGTGCGATAGATGGTGGGGAGGCGGTCCGACATGGGGCGCGTCAAAACACGCAGGGTGATTCGCACCTGGGAGGGGGGGTGGAGGAGACACACAGTCAGAAATGGGAAAAGGGAAAAGGGAGTGGGGCAGGCAGCAAAAGCACCCGCTCAGCATAGTCCTGCCCTAGTGTGCGGTAGATTGTGGGGAGGCGGTCGGACATGGGGCGAGTGAGCAATCGCAAGGTGATTCGGACCTGGCGGGCGGGAGAAGGAGAGCCACTAGGGCGGGAACGATAAGGGGACGAGAAGGAGTGGCACACTTCAGAAGTGGAGATATGCCCTTTTGAGACCTATGCTCTAAAAATGCGAGTAAGAAGTTCAGGGACCTGCCACCTGGCACCTATGCCGCCCGTCAAACCTGGGCACCCGCCTGCTAAACGACACGCCCAGCCGCACAGGACAAAAAAGACCCACCATCTGGAGATCGCGGCTGCCGGACGTGCTCTCCACGAGATGCGGTCGCGCGCGCACGTCGTAGATAATGGGCCACTCAATACCGGGGATGATGAAATGCGTCCCCTCCTGGTATACCTGTGGTTGGGATGGGTTAAAATGGGTTGGGATGGGAATACAGGGTAAAACCAAGAGGTCAAGGGGCGCAAATGGAGTGAAAGGTTGAGAACACAGGAGGGAGTGAGGGAGTGAGTGAGGGAGTGAGTGAGGGAGGGGAGGGGGGGAGAGGAGGGAGGGAGAGAGCGGGAGAAGAGTGGGGGAGTGATGAAAAGCATTTTCTCCTGGTGCACCCGAATTTGCAGGTCGTTTTTTTACTCAAAAGCGAAGGAGTGAGCGCGGGAAAGGGGGGCGAAAGGGGGGGAGAACGCGGGAGAAGAGTGGGGGAGCGGGGAAAGAAGAGGGGGGAGTGAATGAAGAAGACGGAGGAAGCGGGGCGGTGGGGGGAGTTGGGGGGGGGGGGGGGGGGGGGGGGGAAGGGCGGAGGGTCTGGGGGGGGGGAATGGGGGTTCGAGGGATGGGATACATCCGGACCAGCGCTGGACATGCGCGGGAAACGAGCGGTGATGGCGAGGAACGGGCGCAAAGGGGACGGCCGGGGGAGGACAGCGCGCAGAGGAAGCCTGAGGCCTTACGTCCGAAAAAACGGGAACACTCGGATCAAACCCGATGGATGGACGACCTAACTTCAAGGACAATCACCGATCGCGCCGTACCGTCCAGAACCGCACTGAACCGATTCACACCGAAACCCACCGTGTCTTTGATCCCAGAGAGCCGGTTGAAGATGATCGCGCGGTGGCCTCCCTCCACGTTATACAGACTGTGCACCGCACCGTACAGCACCGCACCGCCTACCACCGCAGCGCGCAGCACCGATCCGATCGCGCCGCCCGCTCCGGGCGGCACCTTCATATTCTTCATCGCCCCGAGATTCATGGCGCCTAGAGAATCAAATCTAGAAGATCCGATCCAGATCGACCGGCGGATCTAGAGATTCGTCGGCGCCTCGACTATTCGACTGACGTCTCGAGCAGTCACGATTCGGCTAGCGAATTCCCGGATCCTGGTCCCTGGGGTAGGAAGGGGAGCCGAGCGGTATCGATGGGCGAAATAGATTGATCCTGCGAGCACGACCAGCGAACGAGACTTCGAACGAATTGCGATGCAATCGGCGAAATGCGGTAACGGTGGGCGAAAGAGCGGATCGAGCTGGGGCGAAGAGGCTCGACAGCGTGGGGCTCGAGCTGCAACCACAGCTGCGGTTGCGTTTCTGAGTCGACGACTCCAAGGTTACGGCTGCGATTACGATTTAAGGTTAGGGTCCTCGTGGTGGCAAGTTGCTAAGCTCCCCACCTAACAGCAAAGGATCCGACACCGGTACTCGGACGACAGAAGCGAGCCGAAAAAGAAGCCTTGGAGCTATGGCTGCGTGAAGCCGTCGACCTGGATGGTCTAGGAAAGCTCCAGAAGAGCCGAAGTTTTAATGTGGATTAACCGCACTGTCACGCACGAAATCGCATTCAACCGTAAAAAAAAGGATCAATTTGACACGCGCTTGCAGCCAATGCCTCGTATTTTTTCACACGGAACACAGAGTTCACGTAAACACCGCCTACGTATTGTTTCGCCAAAAAAATATAGGAACAGTCGAAGGAGCTAACACCGAGGTTGAGTCATCCACACGGCAGACTCGCTATTGTGGTTCCTGTTCCTTTTCACAAACACGCTTGTACCTGTGTAGATTAGTTATATCAAAGAGAAGTAAGTGCCATTGCCTTGTTAAATCAGACTGATTGCTGTCTTATCTGTCAGTCTCATTTCATGTCACCCATGAGCCTCAACACATAAGGCCACTAATGGCATCTAAAAATGATCCCATCCAGACGAGACAGGTTCTCAAAATGTACGATTTCATGGATTTCTGGATATTTAGGCATCGGCCCACATTGCACTCATGATGATAGTGCAAAAACAGCTCATTCCGTTTTGGCCTTTGGTGCCACGTCAGCAAGGTAGGAGAGAATTTGGTGGCCGGGAATGGCTGTGAGAACAGCGAGGAGAAGGATGAGCTTGAGGGTGGTGAACAGATTCACCTGCGTTGGGAGGAGGGTGGAGTGAGGCAAGGGGAGAGGGAGCACGACAAGGGTTACGCCAGTTACTTTTGAGTCGATTCAGAAGTCACCCCAGGAATGGCTATGAGAACAGCGAGGAGAAGGATGAGCCTGAGCGTGGTGAACAGATTCACCTTAGTGGGAGGAGGGAGGATTGAGGAAGGAGAGAGCAAGCAGCACAAGGGTCATGATGGTTGATTAGGAGAGAGTGAAGCAGCAAAAGACATGGCTGCCAGGAGTAAATATTGCGATAATGGAAAGCCAACAAGTAGAGAGTATAATCAGCATCATAGAGGAAACACCGCACCTAAAAATGTATCCAGCAAACAATGATGCGAAAGTCTACCAACCAGCATACACCACTACATGCTCGCCAGAAACACACCCATACCTGCACCCAGAAAGCGACGTAGAGCAGCAGAAGAGCCGCGATTCCCCCGTGGAAAGCCAGAGCGGAGAGGAGAGGCACACCCCCGGAGGGGAAGGCCTTGAGGTTCACCCCTAGCACCGCCAACTGTGCGATGGGGAAAGGTGGGAAGCGGTGGAGAGAGGGGTGGAAAGGGGTGGAGAGGGGTGGGGAGGAATGGGAGGCAGGGAGGCAGGGAGGCAGGGATGCAGGGAGGCAGGGATGCAGGAATGCAGGGATGTGAAGGCAAGGATTATGCCATGTGCTGAGTGGAACAGCAGGAAAGAGAAACAGTGGGGCCACAGAAAACGAGAGTGGAGTAAACGCTTGAAATGAGAGGAAAGGCAGATGGCAAGGCAAGCAAAAGGTGAGCTAAGCGCCAGAAGTGGGCAGCAGCGCCGTGACAACTAGAACCGAGGCAGTAAACAAGGGGTACGCCGAGCACAAAAGCCACATGTAACCCCGCACACGCCACAAATTTCCCCACAAACACATATCATCACTCAAATACCCACAACCCCCTACCACACAACTCCACAACACACGTACCCCCACGAGCAGCACCACCAGGGGCAGCAGCACGAGCGCCACAAACGAGTACGAGACGACGAACGCCGGCCGGGAATCCGGCTTGCGGAAGATATGCGCAATCTCGGGCTTGGCAGAGAATCTCTCAGCCAGAGACTCAGGGCGGGCGGGCAGCTTGGGTGCAGTCTCAGGGGCAGCAGGCAGGTCGAGGTCGACAGAACCCAGCTGCCAGTCAAATGCATTGTCCATGACTTGGTCTCCCACGATGAGCTTCAGAGTGTACTCGCCCGAGTGGTAGAAGAGGCGATCCATCATCTCCAGTAGCTCCTGTTGAGGGGATGGGGGTGGATAGGGGCGGATGGGAGGGGACAGAGACGTGATGGCAGCAGTCAAGTCGAGGTCGACAGAGCCCAGCTGCCAGTCAAACGCGTTATCCATGACTTGGTCTCCCACGATGAGTTTGAGAGTGTACTCGCCCGAGTGGTAGAACAGGCGATCCATCATCTCCAGCAGCTCCTGTTGGCGTGACAGGAGAGGAAGGGAGAGCGGTGCACAGGAGTGGAATGAGTGGAGGGGGATGATGAGTTTGAGAGTGTACTCGCCCGAGTGGTAGAACAGACGGCCCATCATCTCCAGCAGCTCCTGTTTGTGTAAAGAAACGGTGAAGTCTAGACAAGGTGGGTGAGGAAAGCGAAAGGATGACTCACGAGGGTGTGGCCAGAGAAGGTATAACGAAGAAGATTGGGACCGCAAGTTGAGGTCCACTTGAGAAAGCGCTTCAGACTTGCGAAGAACAGAGAAGTTACCACAGCATCGGACAGGCAGGCTGGCAGGGCAGTGGCTGGAAAGGCAGCAGTCATCCGCTGAACTGAGAGGGTTGAGCATTGAGGTGATTCTTGAGGCGCCTCAAAAATAGCCCCAGTAGCTGGAAAGGGCGCACTGAAAGGGCGCACTCACAGGGCGCACAGAAGGACTGCACTCACGAGGTGGACTGAGAGGGTGCTGCCTGAAGGCTTGAGCAGGAAGGAGTAGGCCATGCCGATGCCGTTCACCAGCTGCAGCACCGCCTGCAGGGCACCGGGGATAATTGAAAAGACAATGGGAGGGGGGGGGCAGAGAAAGTGTTTGCAGCATTCAAAGCAAGGTGTGAGCAGGAAGGAGTAGGCCATGCCGATGCCGTTCACCAGCTGCAGTACGGCCTGCAGGGATTAGGGTGGGTGGAGAAAAGAGGGAGGGAAAAGGGAAGCGGGGCAAGGCGAGAGGAGATGGGGTGTTGATAGCAGTCCTGTGACAGGGTTTACACTCTCCTGCTCCCCGGAAGGAGTTGCTGGGGTGGGGCGTTTCCATGATGAGAATACTCATTTCCTGAGGAAAAGAAGGAATGTTCCAGGGTGCCCCTTACCTGGTGCAAGAGAGAGACTTTCCCTGGAGGAGGAAAGAGTGACATGCGCAGCTTCTTGTGTCCTCCTAACCTTTCAGCACCGTTTCCTAGCCTTAATAAAGAGATTCAAACCCTTCTCTGCCGTGCTCACTGCCCTGTACCTGATGGGGAACGAAGGCTTTCCCTGAAGGCGTGGCAAGGGAGAGGGAGACGCGCAGCTTCTGCAGGTGGGTGGCAGAGAGGTCGGTGAAGTTTGTCCTCTTCTCAAAGTCCAGCCTGGCAGGGAAGAAGGGGGGGGGGGGGGGTGGAGAAGGGGAGCATGGGAGAGTAGGAGGGTGGAGAATATAAGAATTGAAAGATAACTTTCACACTGCATGGAGAAAGAAAACAGTGCTCTTACTGACGTGTGCCATTGCAACAAGGCGACTTCTGAGTCGACTCAAAAGGGTGGACAACACTAGGGGCGAAAGAAGAACTCCACACTGCATGGAGAAAGAAAACAGTGCTCTTACTGACCTCAACACACAACAGCCTAGCGGACATGCACCCAATGAAACTTGCACTCACCCTGGTTCCTCGAACCGGACACAACCCCACCAAGGCACTCTCCGCACTCACTGCTTCTCGGTTTCAGGAGTGGCACCATCGCTGTCCAGCACAGCAACAGACACGCCAGTGACAGCCATGGAGGCGGAGAGCAGCAACGGGCACTCTACTGACGCACTGCCGACGATGAAGGGCGAGTCCGCAGGGGGGGTGATCTGCAGATGAGGAGGACGGTGCAAGAGGAGGGAAGGAGAGACGCAGGAAGGAGAGAAGCGAAGCAGGCACAGCACATGTGATTAAGAGGCGCGCAATGGCATGGGCGCAGAGAGCAGCAGCGGGCGCTCCACTCCACTGATGCCATGGCGACGATGGATGAAGAAGTGTTTTGAGACGTCTCAAAAATACCCTTTAAACACTTTGCAGAGGAGGAGACGCCGCCCGTGCCCGCTGTGAGCTTCACTGACGCTGCACTGCCACCCCCAACAATGACTGCCTTGACTTGCGTTGACTTGCGTTGACTTGCGTTGACTTGCGTTGACTGTGCCTTCTCACCTTGAACTTGAGCGTGTAGACCCCCCCCGAGGGTAGACGCCTTGGAGAATGGCTTGGCGGAGAAGGAGACCCCGTCCTTGCCTGCGGTGAGCTCCTTCCCAGATGCAGCACTGCCACCCCCAACACTGTGTCATCTCACCTTGAACTTGAGCGTGTACACCCCCAGGGTGGAGGCCTTGGAGAATGGCTTGGCGGAGAAGGAGACGCCGTCCTTGCCCGCTGTGAGCTCCTTGCCTGATGCAGCACTGCCGCCCCCGATGGTGGCGCTCTGCAGCTTCACTGCCACGCCTGGCACCTTGCCGCCCAGCGCTGTTGTCACACTCACCTGCAGTCACACGGATGGGGGTGCAGGTGTGGGGGCAGTGAGGATGGGGTTGCGAAACGAGAATGTGAACGTCAGGTAGGGAGGTGGAGCGTATCAGCCAGGAATCAAGGGCAGGGGTTGCAGAGAGGGGAAGAGAGGATGGGAGTGAGGAGGATTGAGAATGTAGATGTGAGTGAGATGAGAACAATGAGTTGTGGCCAACTCGGAGTGCGTATCAGCCTGAAATGGAACAGAAGGGAAGCGCTGTGACAGGAGTAGAATGAGCGTGCTTTTAGGGAGTCGGAGGGAGGACTTACAAGTGTGTGCTTACAGTATGTGGGAGGACTCACAGTGAGCGTTGGGTCTGCAGATATGGAGATGTGGCTGGGAGACGAGAGGAAGATGGGCACAACACAGCGGTGCTGCCTGAGAGGGTGAACTCACAGTGACCGAGCGTGCTCATGGCGGGAAGGGCGGCTTACAGTGAGTGTGGGGTCTGCAGAGATGGAGATGTGACCGGGAGACGAGAGGAAGATGGGCACAAAGATGCTGCATGGCCGGGGGGGAGAATTGAGGGGGGATTGGATGGGTGGGGGGGGGGGGGGGAGGGGATGGGAGATATTTGGACGAAGGGGATGGGAGAGTGAACGGGGGAAGTTTGAAGCGGAGATTGAGAGGAAGGAGAGTGGAAGGGGGAAGAAGGGGGAAGGGGGAAGAAGGGGAAGAAGGGGGGGAGAGTGGGATGGGGGCAAGGATTATGGGAGGTAGACAGGGTGACTGAAGAGAGGAGGAGGGGGAAATCAAATGTGCACACTTTGTGTTCCACTAGAAACGCATACAACCGGGGGGGGAGGGGGGGGGAGGGGCGAAGAAAGCGGATCAGAAGACTAGAGTGAGATAACCAGGGGGGAGGGAGACTGTACGAGAGCAAGCAAGTGTGGTGATGAAAATAGACAAGGATTCATGGGAGGAAGGAAGGAGGGAAGGAACGGAGAAGTGTACAGCTCATCGGAAGTTGCTTTTGAGAATTCTCAAAAACACCTTGCAGGAACGGAGAAGTGTACAGCTCATCGGAAGTCTGTCAAATCCTTTCAACCTCTTCCCCTCCCCCCCCGGCCCCTCTCTGTTCCTCAACCAACTCATGCGAGGCAAAGCGAGCGCTTCAGCCAAGGCAGCAGCCTCCCGCCCCCTCTTCCCTCGCCCTCTCTTCCATCGCCCCCTCTCCCCGCCTCCCCCCCGGCCCCCCCTCGGTTCCTCAACCAACTCACGGGTTGTTATCAAGCACAGCAAGGGCCTCAACCCAGGCAGCGGCCTCTGCCTCACCCCCCGACCCCGTACTCCCTCCCCCCCCCCCCCGTCCGTCTCCCTCCCCCCTATCTCTTCCCCCCCCCCCATCTGCTCTTAACCCCAGCTCACGGGTTGCTATCAAGCACTGCGAGGGCTTCCGCCCAGGCGGTGGCCTCCGCCAGTGACAGGGGCTGCGCCGCCACCAGATAGCGCCCCGCCTCCCCCCGCCCCCATTCCCTCCCTCCCCTCCCCATTCCCTCCCTCCCCTCCCTGTTCCCCATGCAACTCACGGGTTGTTATCAAGCACTGCAAGAGCTTCCGCCCATGCAGCGGCCTCCGCGAGTGAAAGAGGCAGCGCCGCCACCAGATAGCGCCCCGCCTCCGCCACCTTGGGGGGGCGCACGGCGAGCGGGGAGGCGAGGGTAGAGGCGAGCGCGAGGTAGCCCGTGATGGCGGAGGCGGTGGCGACGAGAGTCCCGCCCTCCGCGGGGGAGGCTGAGAAGAAGGAGACAGCGTTGCCACTGGGGTCCGCTGGACGTAGGGGAGCAGGGGGGGGTAGTGGGGGGGGGGGGGGGGGAGGAGGAGGAGGGGGAGGGAAGAAAGGGGTGAGAGGTGCGGGGGAGGGACGGGAAGAAGGGCACAGGGCGCAGGGGCTGGGAGGGTGGAAAAGAGGCAGGGTGAACGAAGAGAGGGGAGGCGAGCGCGAGGTAGCCCGTGACGGCGGATGCAGTGGCGACGAGAGAGCCGCCCTCCGCGGGAGAGGCGGAGAAGAAGGAGACAGCGTTGCCACTGGGGTCCGCTGGACGAGTGGAAGTAAGGGGGGAAGGGCGGGGGGGGAGAGTGACGGGAGGGGAGAGGGGAGAGGGAGCAGGGGATGGAGGGGAGGGCGGGCACGGGGCGAAGGGGGTGCGGGGGGGGATGAAAGAGGGGAAGGGTGAACGAAGAGAGGGGAGGCGAGCGGGGAGGCGAGCGGGGAGGAGAGGGTGGAGGCGAGCGGGGAGGCGAGCGCGAGGTAGCCCGTGATGGCGGAGGCGGTGGCGAGGGCGGGAGGGAAGAGATCCAAACAAGTACTTGTGAAGAGGGAGAGAGCAAGTTGACAGTTGAATCGACTTAACAGTGCGAGAGGAAGGGTTGTACGAGGAGTAAAGGGGAGCGTTCCTTACAATCAGCTGTGAGGAGAGAGAAGAGCGAGACGACACTTGAATCAATTCAACAACAGTGCGAGAGAAGAGTAAGGCGCTGTACGAGGAGTAAAGGGGAGCGTTCCTTACAGTCCGTTGTGAGGAGAGAGAAGAGCGAGCCGACAGCATCTGTAACCGCAGACACCTGCCACATGCGGAGCGAAGCATTGCCACATGGCACACAATGCACACAATGCATACATCCGGGAACTGTCACGTGAACATACAGAGCACTAATACGTCCACTCACTAAATAACGAGCTACGAAACTCCATTACTAGTCAACACCGAGTTTTATCCACCTGCTTCTCACCTCCCGATCCGAACCTCTGCTTCTCACCCATCCCACCTGCTTCTCACCCACCAACCCCAGCTCCTTGAGTGCAGCCAGCGCCCCAGGGAGCCACGTCCGAGCGACACTACAACCTCTCACTTTCAACAGCCCCTCCCATCCCTCACCTAGCTCTCACCCATCCCAATTCGCACCTGCTTCTCGTCCACCACTCCCAGCTCCTTGAGTGCAGCCAGTGCCTCGAGAGCCACGCCCGCAGCAGCCACGGACGACGCCCCCTGGCCGTCCTTCCCCGTCGCCCACGTGCCATCCGCCTGCTTCAGCGCCTGGTGAAGTGCAACAAATTTTGTTACCTTTTATTGCTCTTTTGAAAAAAGGGCGGAACGAATAATGCAAGCAACAACGAACACGGGACAAGGTAAACACAGCCACGAGTGGCAGAAGCAGCGAAAACGATGAGGGGCTGAAGGTAGTTTCATGGTTAAGAGGCTTACGAGGATAGCAGCAGCAGCCTTCTTGAGGCCTGAAGGCACCGACCCAGTGCTCCACTTGTTGGCCTGGTACCGTGTTGTTTGAATTGGAGCATAGGGAGGGATGAAAGCAATGAGCACGCAGGTGAGAAACAAGGAAAGGCTGCTGTAGACAAAAGAGGCTCCGCTCTCTAAAAGTGAGCTCGCTTCTCTCTGCCTGTCTCTCCCTCCTCTCAACAGTGTCTCCTTGCCTCACCTTGAGGATCTGGGTGCCGGCTGCGGCATAGAAGAGCTGGTCGAGGGACGAGGAGGATGCTGCTGTGGAGAAGAGAGGTTCCGCTTCCTGCGAACGAAGGAGGTGCGGTAGTAATAGAGTATGCATGAGATACCACCGCACATAGTGTAAACGAATCATAGCACGAACAACCATGGCCACAGAGAGGAGATTTTGTACACAGAAGTCTCGCCTTGGCTTGGTAGAGGCAGAGCGTTACCTTGGCAACGGCGCTGGCGCCCTTGCAGGCGAGCGCAGCGGCGATCGACACCTTCTGCAAGGCCTTTTCCATTGCCGTGGGTTACAAGGGTCTCGCCTTGGCTTGGAAAGAGGACAAAGCCGTACCTTGGCAACGGCGCTGCCGCCCTTGCAGCCGAGCGCAGCGGCGATCGACACCTTCTGGAAGGCCTCTTCTGCTGACGTGGCGGCTGGAAGCTTCTTGAGCCACGCGCAGAGCTTGGCCGAATCGAGCGACGACTTCGAGACGACGCTCAGCAGCTTGACTGCCTGAAAGGTCTCCTTCAAACTGGTGAGATGGGAAACCGGCAAGCGGTGGAAAGGGAGAATGCGACGGCAGCATGGGATGGGACAAGACACACTCGCATGCTCAGTTCTGAGGCGACTCGGAGGACGACGCTCAGCAGCTTGACTGCCAGGAAGGTCTCGTTCAAACTGGGACGAGAAACGGCAAGTGGTGGAAAGGGAGAAGAAGACAGCAGCATGTGATGAGTCCTGAGTCACATGCGTGCTTAGTAATGAGACGACTCCGAGAACGGCGCTCAGTAGAATCACTGCTTGAAATGCCTCCGTCAAGACGAGAAACGGTAAGTGGTGGAAAGGGAGTGTGGGATTGAGCGAACGCTGAGAATCGTACGCGTTGTAATCGGAACGCGCGATTGCAAGTAACGATTACTCCACAACAATTTCGCTCTTTCCCTCTGACGACGGGACGACCAAAAGCGGCGCCTTTCGCCTCCCCAGCAGCCATTGACTGTTATAACAGCTGGTCATGAGATCTGAAACCGAAATGTTGCATCCATCGTTCTCGACGGCAAACACGAGGGTGTGTAACATGGTAACCCGCAGCTCTGGTCATCTACAGCCGGTTTAACTCATACTCTGATTCCACGATCTACCAATTGCTGATCAGAACGTCCGACCATGTAAGACCAACAACCAACGGGATGTTTTAACACGGTAATAAACAGTTCGATTGATGGAGAAAGGAGGATCTGAAGCCTTTCAATCTAGTAAACACGACACGGTGATCTAATGCCATCCGAATATGCCACTTATTTTACACTGTAGGAAAATATATAGACGCATCTAATGCCAGCTGACGTACGAACCATCTTCGGAACGGATGGAACCAGAATGCTTTCATAGTTGACAAAAAAGACGCATTGAAGATTGACAACAACGATGATTTCACGTCGATTTTGAGAATATATGAGGTCATGTGAGTCAAATCTCACCTGCCGTAGGAGCCGTCTTCCAGCGGAACTGCGAGAGTCTTCGCTGCTTCCACGGTTGCTAACGGCGACGCATTGACGATAGCCGCGCAAGATCCGGCGAAGACGAGGGAGATAATAGCGAGGATGGCCATGAAGCCGCGCGATGCTACACAGATGGCACCAGAACACACTTTCGAAACCCGTCAACAGATGTTGAAAGAATGTGAAGGAAACTTCTAAAATTCCCCACAACGTACGAAATGTTATGACCTGATTCCGAGGACGAGACACCAGGATCTGGTGAGTAAATCTACGACGAAACAAAAACAGAAGCGAAGCAAGAAACCTACCTGAAGCAGTCGCCATGGCTAGGATCCGCGACCAGAGAGAATTCCTACTCAAGAACGAGAGATCCAGAATTTGAGCCTCGAGATTGCCTACTGGTCGGGCAAGTGCTCCAGGAAGAGGGGATCAGTGATCAGAGGAATGGGTTGGGGAGGGGAAGCGGAAATGGGGAGGCTTGGGTTGGTTTGGGAGGAATAATTCGACCTTGCACGAAATCCTGGAGAAAGGTGTGTTACTGTAACTGAGACCGATTCGAGAGAATAAATGATAAGTTTGTGAGCAATATTTACTGAAGCGTCTTCTGTGCAAATTAGCTACCTATAAAAAACTACTCAACATTAAAGAAAACTCAGCGTTTCTACCTACATAGAGACCTAATAACCATTATTTGTACTAAAAATTACTTGCAAGCCCTTTCAACTCCCAAGCTTGAAAACCATAAACAGAACCGTATACTAAGACCCAGCATCATGCCAGCCAACAAGGCACCTGCACACAGAGAAACATCTGTCAAATCAGCAGAGGATGTGAAGTGCTACTAGCAAGTACTTCACAAGAAACAGAGCACACTATCCCCCTTAAGCCAAGCCACGGAAGAACCAAATGAGAAAGCATTATCCCAGTACAGAGGCAGTTGGTATGGAGAGGGCGTTAGCCATGTGGGTACGGTTGGAGTGCACCAAAGCTACTTGAGCTAAGGTGCTCCTCCCTCCCACTGGCACTTTCATCTCTCCAGCTCTAAGCTTTGGTCTGTGCCACACGAACATCTCTTAAGGCTATCAGAAGCTTGATAAGAGGGCCTAAGAGACCATTATGTGGCATCAGAACACACTGCATTTTCTAAATCAGAAGCCAAACATTAGTAAGGTTCAGATCTCTCACCCTTTTGTTCGTGTGCCCGCTTAAATAGCAGATAAAAAGGACCCAGGAACCTGATAGACGGTTGGCACTGCAGCATGCTCAGAGACGACCGCGCGCTCGGAAATTACACGAGATGCGAGAGAGGGAAGCAAGCGCCTGGACGTGACAGTACATGTTCAAGAAACTCGTGAAAAAACTCGGAAGTTAATCTGCACTGTTAAAAAAGAATGGACACAACTACACGCGGATATCCAGTAAGCAAACGTCCGGGAAGCACACACGAGAGCTGCGGCTGGTATAGCAAGGAAGAGCGGTGGTCGATCGACTTGCAAGCGCCTCGACGAGAGAGTCTTGATCTGGATGCACCCGCCGACTAGAAAGCAAGCAAGACGGATAAAGAGAAGATAACGATGTAAAGAGCAAATCACTGACAACGGAACGTGAAGAAATATCGAAAGTGAACCTGTGGATTGCTTCATGAGCTACCATGTTACGTCATAGCGTCGAGATAAAACAAGACTGGTCGAAACTAGCCAGGAGGAGATTCTCAAGTCAACGCTTCACGTGTCATAGCGAGTAGTGTCCCGCGTGTCTTCTTCACACTGACACAGGTTCCAGCCATGGCTACGGAACGACAGCCGTCATAACCACCGCACTAAGCAGGCTCGAAGTCGAAGATGACATACCCCAACTATGATGATTGTGAAAGTGGCCATGGTTTCATCGGGAATTTTGGGGGTCCCGCAATCGGTTGGGAAACCACTAGCTGGCGAGTGGTTTTCGGCTCCAGGTATTTGCCTGGTTTTGGCGATTGGTTTTCTATCCTAGTGGCATCTAGCCGCAGATTGGTTTCCGAATGGGCGAATGACTGCCTGCCATACCTGTACAGATGGTTTGGAAACATTCGGCGAACACGCCGAGGACACCTGGCCGAAACACATTGGGCGCGAAAATGTTTTGTTTGGTTGCGCACTTTCATTTTTGTTGAATGTCGCGACATCGTCGTGAACATCGAAAACTACACCAAAAAATGGCACAATCCTGATATGCTCGAATTGTGACAGTATCGCAGCAAAAAATATAAATGATACTACACTTGCAACAAATTTCGTTATAGTAACCCCCGATGAAACCAATTAGCGTAGATAAATTAGCAGTACAGTTGTTAGGTTTCAATAAGACGTACGAAAATATACATACAGCAGCAAATCTGATTTAAAATTTCCAGCTATATATTTGACCCGTTAGAAGAAAATATCAACAATGAAACACAATACATTAAAATAACATTACAACTAAACGCAAAACCCAGCCGACACAACACATACTAAACCTACCTAGTACTAAAACCGCTTCGTACTAAATTACTAAACTAGTACAAAAGCATCAACGCGAGCACGGAAACAAAGACTACAGTTCCAGAGCTGCACAATGCATAACATTTGTAGCAGTAACAAACACCAACAGAACAAAACCAAGGTACGGTAAGTAGAGAACAATGCAGGAAAACGAAAGCTTACCAGAGACATGCTAACCACAGCAGGTAGTCTGCCAAAACCTAACGATACGCCATCCACGATCTGCCACAACATGGGAAAAAAAAAAAAAAAGATTAATATGAGCTCATCATGAATGGCACGATTGTCTGGAACGAAGAAAAAACAGAAGAATAGAACAACACATAATCGACTAAGCAGCGCACCTCAAAGTTTCAGACGATTCTGTGCAGACCGCCTTCACGTCTGCTCCACACGTCGCCTGCATGTAACAACATCTGACAACAAAAAAGCGAGACGGTGACAAGGTTGATGAATCCAAAAGCAATTTTAGAGGAGCATACGAGATGGCTTACCAGTGCCGAGATTAGAGAAGCTGCATCCAAAAGCATTGCCTTGCACTGATGTCCTTGTTGTTGTTGTCGGCGGCGACCTAAAGCACTTCGACACTGCAGAAACTGAGGTGAGAAATAACACTAAGCGAATTGAAGTCGCGAACGTAACAAGTCGCGAATGTGAGGAGCTAAGCCTCAACCGTGAGAAGGAACGGGTCACAAACGAGTGAAGGAAAAAAACTGGAATCACAAAAGTCACGTCTCTGACAGCTCGTCGATGAGAATGAAAGATCTCGTGCTTGCTGCTGGAACAACGAGCTCAAGGTGACGACGAACAAGCAGGCACATGGAACTGGTAGCTGGATGCATGCACCTCACCTCACCTCACCTCACCAATGAGAGCCTCGCGACGAAACCTGCCACTGGCTTACAACGTGAGGTTTCGAAACCAGCAAGGCAACCGCCAACGTGGCGTCGAATGTTCTGATTCGGCCCTTCAGTGGCTCAGCAGTGAAAACGGGATTTCGATTGGTGCTCGCAACAGATAGGACATTCCACTTAGCAGCGCTGTCGCAGTTCTGAGCAACGATTGGTTACATTGGCATCTTAGCTTACTGAGGTATACAACGATATCCAGCTCGACAAATAGAAATGGCTCGCTAACTGCTGCCAGCTCGACAAATGTGGTGTGGGTTACAAGCTGTGGTGCAGCTGGGCAGCTGTACACATAATGTTCAAACCAAATACCCGTCAGATAGAACGATATTTCATCCAATATCTCTTTTCAAAAACCAGCAATATTAAGCACAAATTGTCAAACATATGTTTATATATTATAGTTTAGGTAGGCTTTAGTGGGGCACTCACTGTGGGGTACAACCCCTTAGGTTTTACCTTTGTACCAAACTTCTCGATAGTCAACATCACCCTACTCTAACATGGTATTAAGAGCACTTAGGTCTTAGGACCTAGTTTCCTAGTGGGCCCACCGTTACCTCGCTTTTTTTTAGGGTTTCCCCTGCCTGTCGAGCTGCCCCACCCGTCGCGCCGCCCTGCTGGCCGCGCGACGCGCGTTTAATTTCCTTTTTCTTCAGTTTTTTCTCGTCACGCCGCCCTAGGGCCCGGCCCCGCCCGTCGCGTCGCCTTAGGGCCTTCGCACCGCCCACGGGAGCCAGTCGCGCTGCCCTGCTGGCAGCGCGCGACCCCGCCTGGCCCGTCGCGCACCTGTAGGGCCCGCGAGCCGCCCGTCCCTGCCCGCCGCGCCGCCCCTTTTTGGCAGCGCGCGGCTCGGCCCCGACCTCGCGCACCCCTACGGCCCTCGTGCCGAGCTCTACCCGCTATTGCGGCCCCGCCCTGCCCCAACGTAGCCCCCAGAGCAGCCGCCCCTGGCTCCTGCAGCAGCCGCCCCTAGTGCAGCCGCCCCTGGACTCTGAGCAGCCGCCCCTGGACCGAGAGCAGCCGCCCCTGGCCCCTGCAGCAGCCGCCCCTGGTGCAGCCGCCCCTGGACCCAGAGCAGCCGC